AAACACCGCAGGACAGGAAAAATATGACGGCAATATTGAGAATAAAGAGGCAATAGGTGATAGGTTTAGAGTTTTAGGGTTGCCAGAAATAGATCCTAGAATGAATGTTTTAAACATTAATCGGAGTGACGCGAATCAGGACATGGAAAATGCAAATGTTCGGGTGATTAAACTTCCAGCTTTGTAATATTCCGATAGATTACAAGATAATTATAGATCTTTAGATTTAAAGCAGAAGACTTACTTTACAAATGTTTGTCATAATGTGAAATGTCAATATTGTAAGAATTCGTTGGAGGTGGTGCTGGAGTCAGAAGGAACCACTAATCACCTCAATTTTCAAGCATTATCCCATATATATATATAATAGTAGGCCTGAGAGTCATGAGAGACTCTGTGCTTCGACAGGTGAAGCTGCTCTCACAATGAGTGGTTCCATATAACGTTCTGTGGTCTCTCCGCCAGTTAACCAATCTGGTTCTGATTTGAAAGCTTTAAGTGATGACCTTAAACTGATTATCTAAAACAACGTACGATTTAAGCGATAATATTCGTGGACCCCCTTCAAAATATAATTAGAAATGTTCAATATTGGAAAAATGAGCAAGTTTCCAATAATCGTTTAAAGCTGTACCTGCAGAAGTCATAACTATTTACAAAAGTCAAGGAGCTACATATACCAAATTGTTGGTGGGCACTGCAATATACGTAGCTAATAGCAGGACAGCAACGAATTGGGCTTTGTTTATAATAGGAGATTTTCATCCAATAAAACTTTCAAAGTTGATCAAATCCAAACCCAAATAGTCCACAGTGAAAAATTACATCGATACGATAACTTTATTAGCGGTGTATTTATGTATTTCAATATTATTTTAAATAATTTAATGCTTCTTGTTTTGTTCAGGGTAGATTCGAGTCAAGCACTCGCGATAAGCAGGAAACGGTCTTTCTCTGTCCTATGGATTTGTTTAGGCACTGAAATGTCTGCAAGCCCGTTTCCTGCTGTTTAGCGTTTGTTCGATGCGACTAAAAAAACTCCAATTTCATAGAGCAGTACTTAAATATTGTGGTAATGACTAAAGAAAAATAAAAGTATCTGCGAGAAAGAAGGGAGGGTTAGTTCATAAATAAAAATTAAACGGACAAAAACTTAAAACAAATACACGAAATGTTGTCAACGGATAAATGTTGACGAGAGCTTCGAAAGCATCAACAGTTGACATCGAAGTGCACGGTCCGCTCGTAATTAGCTTTTGATATCGTTGCTAGCTGTCTTGTTGCGCATGGTGAGCTTGCGCTGCAGTGGTTAGTGGTGAAAAATATCACCCTCTCACTGTGTCGCTGTTCGTGGTGAGTAGACGGTTTTTTCATGAATTTTATGTGTATATGAGCAGAGCTACATTCAAATGCATACAGTGGTTCACAGCTTATTTCAACCAGCACCTTAAAAAAAGTGTGTTCGGCTATAAAATCTAAACTATTGGGGATATCCCGAAAATTTAAATGCAGGTTGTTAGTGTGATGTTTAAACTAATATAAAATCAATTAATTTATTTTTTCAATATTTAATAATGTTTAAAAACTAAAAAGTGAGACCAACACATCTCCACAGCTTATTTCAACCACAAACTTTGCAGCTGATGAAAAATCCGTTATTTTGCAATGCAACGGTAGATTCTTGTTCTATGCTTTATTCACTGTTTTCGCAGTGTGATAAAATAAATTTTTGCAGAATCTTGAAAGCTCAACTTGCAGAAAAGTGAATTTAGCAAAATGGGACCACGCACACCTATTGAGCAGTGGGAACTTGTTCTCAAACACTATAAAAATGGTCATTCCCGTAGAAAAAATGTTGAGATGGTTGGATTTAGTGATTCTACAGTTCAAAGCATCATATACCGGTTTGTCCGTGAAAGTAGAACCCACGATAAAGGTAGAAATGCTCCAAACAAAATTTTTAATCCCACGGACGAGCGCTATATTGTGAGAAAAATCCGGGATAACCCAAGGATATCGGTTCGACATGTTGTCGATATTGTTAGGGAGGAGTTGGGCAAGTCATGCCACCCAGAAACTATTCGCTGTGTGCTTCGGGAACATGACTTTAATGGCAAAGTACCACGCAAGAAGCCTCTTATAAGCGACAAAAACAAGAAGTGTAGCTTAAAATTTGCCCAGGAGCACTTGGACAAGGACATTGGATTCTGGAACACAGTTTTATTTTGCGGTGAGTCCAAATTTAATTTGTTTGGATCGGATGGGCCCTCAGCCGTCACCAGATTTAAATATAATCGAGAATTTGTGGTCGCTTTTGGAAAAAAACATTTGCGAACACAATATACACTGCCGAACAACGAAATAGACTCCACATTTTATCAGTTTTATTTTTATGTTTTCTCCTTTTTGCGTTAAGTTATCGTTATAACTGTTATTACATTTTATTGAGCGAAACCAGACACATATGCTAGAGACAATATGTGGATGCAAAAAATATACAGTTATATTGTATATCTGTTTTGCTTTGCCTTTGTCCAAAAATGTGTTTTTTTTCAATCATCGGAATAGACTCAGAAGAGGTTATTTTATTTTCTTATATATAAGTTGTGTTCTTTGGAAGTCGCAAATTCTTTTCGAAAGCTATTGTCAGTTTATTCAACTATAATTGAAAATAATATGGGTCGTGGTAAAGTGCTTACTTTAGAGGAAAAAGGCAAAATATTGGCGTCTGTTGTCAGTCATTTCTTACGTGATCCATCAAATTACGGGGAAAATATGAAAAAACCCTCCCATAAAGCACTTACTGCTTCCGAAAAGCGAAGAATACTCCGAGAAGCATCCAATTCTACGTGTTCTGCAGCCAAAATTTACCAAAGTTTGGGAGTGAACGCAAGTGTAGCTACTTAGCATCTTCAAAGATTGAAAATAAAGAAAAAACCACCACTTACCGATATTCGTAAGGAATCTCGTTGTCTGTTTGCGCGGAACCACATGACCTGGACTACTGAGTGGTATCGAATCGTTTCTTCTGATGAAAAACGCTTCAACTTGGATGGACCCGATGGTTTTAATTATTACTTTCATGATATCAGAAAGGAGGAACGTTATTTATCCCGTCACCATAGTCGTGAGGGTGGTATAATGGTGTGGGGTGCCATATCGTATTATGGTACTTTCGATATTTAATTCGTGTCAACTAGGATGAATGCCATTAAAAGCATTTCCCCATTTCACCGAACTCTTTGGATATTTATCTTGGACTTTTCAACAAGATAATGCTCCTATCCACACCGCGCGAATTGTAAAAAAATGGATTGCCGATCAAAATGTTCACTTAATGGAGTGACCGCCGTACTCTCCAGATTTAAACATCATAGAAAATGTATGGGTATGGTTAGCGCGTAAAGTCTATCAATTGGGTAGACAATTTGAGGACATTGAGTCTTTAAAATCAGCAATTACCAGCAACTGAAGCGAAGTATCATTGGATTATTTAAACTGCCTATACGATTCTATGCCGATCAGAATTTACAAAATTTTTTCAAATAAAAGTGGCTTTACCCATTATTAAATTATTAATAATGATTATCAGAATTGAAAATTCGAAAAATTAAGATTTTTGTTTAATTTGTTTGTTTTTTGCTTTGTTTAAAATGTTGAGTCTATTCGGATCGATAAAAATAACGTTTTTTTAAGGTGCCTCAAAAAGAAATTTTTTTAGAAATTTTATATAAAACTTAGAGCGCTAATTTTTGTTTTGGTTACTGAAGAATTGAGCAATGAATAAGATATAATTTTAGTATAAAGTTATATTGTTATCTTTCTTTATAAATCGTCAATTTCCAAAAAAAAAATTGTGAGTCTATTTCGTTGATCGCCAGTGTATCCAACAAATCGGACCTAAAAGCTGCATTGGTTGAGGAATGGGAAAAATTACTCCAGAAGTCACCAAAAAGTTGGTGGAATCTATCATAAAAAGACTTAAAATAAATAGTAGTTAACCAAAAGGGTGGTCACACTCAGTATTAATTTTTTATTATTTTGTGTTATTTTAATGTTATATAATGTTATTTCATAAGGGGTTGAAATAAGCTGTGGAACTGTTGTGGTCTCATTTTTTAGTTTTTAAACATTATTAAATATTGAAAAAATATTTTAAAAATAAATGAATTGATTTTATATTAGTTTAAACATCACACTAACAACCTGCATTTAAATTTTCGGGATATCCCTAATAGCTTAGCCCAACAAATTTTTTTTAAGGTTCTGGTTGAAATAAGCTGTGAACCTCTGTATATATTTAATAACCACATGTGTGTATGAGGTATACTGTTAGATTATTTATATCCATAAAGAGAATCTTACTCTGCCAATGAAAATTGAAAGTGATTGATTTTACGTTAATTTTTGTAAAATTTCTTTTATTTTATTATAAGCACTGTGCCTTTAAAATAGCTAAGCAAGGTAACACAAATTTCGTAAAAGTATCTATTTGAACAAATAAATACTCCATTGTCATGATGTAATTAAATACTCGCGAGAATCAAATTTACTGTGTAGGTTTCTGTTTTATACACATACAAAGATTTTGTATATCATCGATTTGGATAGCTCAACCTACTAGAGATTTCTACTTTGGAAAAAAGCAATGTTTTGATGTTTTGTTGTCTAATTTTGCGAGATGTTTCATGGTATTTTAAGTAAGATTGAAAAAAGCCTTTTATTGGGCTTTTTTTTCTAAATTTACAAAAAACTGACTGTTAGAATAGAGGACAGATCAGCTCTTTACAATTATGCGAGTGGTCACTAATGAAAGTTACAGCTCGTAAACCTACTCTGATGAGAAAAAAAATGTGCCACCCATTTTGGTGCCAAATATGTGTAAATTACAGGGTATTTTCTTAATGCCAATTTTTAAGTTTCAAGTTCTACAACTTTAGAAAACACTGCCTGAAAAGCTTATACTAACTCGATTTTAAAACTGGAAATGCAGAGCATCATGCTTCTGCAACCCAGAAGGCATAGAAAATCGAATCACTACAATACATCATGAATAACGTGACAGAGTTAGTTAGGTAAGCTATCACATTGAGTAGTATAACAAATAAATAACTTCAAATAATTTATTATGAAATTATGGAAAGCAGCAGCAAAGATTCTGATGTCAATTGCGACAGTGGCAGTATCTCTATCCTAAGCAGCGGGGATTTGGATTCTTTACGGAGTCTAATGCATCAACTGCTTCGAGACTGCGGCTGGCAGGATGACATTCGCAAAAAGATACACAACATTCTGGATACGCGAGGAGTGAATCAAGTTAGTGAAGGAGATGTCATCGCCGAGATCATACCCTTGGCAAGTAAATTGGTACCCAAGGAAGTGCGATGTGAGCTGGAAAAACGAGTGCGTGATATCTTGCTGTTGAATTTGGATATTTAGAAATAGTTGTATAATACATACAGTGGTTCACAGCTAATTTCAACCAGCACCTTAAAAAAAGTTTGTTGGGCTATAAAATCTAAACTATTGGGGATATCCCGAAAATTTAAATGCAGGTTGTTAGTGTAATGTTTAAACTGATATAAAATCAATTCATTTATTTTTTAAAAAATTTTTCAATATTTAATGTTTAAAAACTAAAAAATGAAAAAACATTATATAACATTAAAATAACAAAATAATAAAAAATCACTACTTAGTGTGACCATCCTTTGGTTAAAAAATCACTACTTAGTGTGACCATCCTTTTGGTTAACTATTATTTTAAGTCTTTTTGGGATAGATTCCACCAACTTTTTGGTAACTTCTGGAGTAATTTTTTCCCATTCCTCAACCAATGCAGCTTTTAGGTCAGATTTGTTGGATATATTGTGTTTGCGAATGTTTTTTTCCAAAATCGACCACAAATTCTCGACTACATTTAAATCTGGTGACTGGGTTGGTGGTTTCTTAACGTGCAGATATTTCCAGATCAGCCAAGTCTGGACAATTCCCGCAGTGTGTTTCGGGTCATTATCTCTGATAAAATCTGAAGTCCTCCTTTATGCCCAGTTTCTGAGCACTTTGAATTAAATTGGACCTCAAAATATCAAGATATTTGCCTTTATCCATCGTAGTCTCATCCCAACGCCGGCTGCTGACATACAGGCCCAAACCATAAGGCTGCCTCCGCCATGCTTTACTGTAGCCCTCAAATGTTTTGCGTCAAGCTCTGCGTTAGGCTTACGCCACACATGTGAGGGCCCATCCGACCAAAACAAATTAAATTTGAACTCATCGCAAAATAAAACTGTGTTCCAGAATCCAATGTCCTTGTCCAAGTGCTCCTGGGCAAATTTTAAGCGACACTTCTTGTTTTTGTCGCTTATAAAAGGCTTCTTGCGTGGTACTCTGCCATTAAAGTCATGTTCCCGAAGCACACGGCGAATAGTTTCTGGGTGGCATGACTTGCCCAACTCCTCCCTAACAATATCGACAACATGTCGGACCGATATCCTTGGGTTTTCCCGGATTTTTCTCACAATATAAATCCAACCATCTCAGCAATTTTTCTACGGGAATGACCATTTTTATAGTGTTTGAGAACAAGTTCCCGCTGCTCAATAGGTGTGCGTGGTCCCATTTTGCTAAAAATTTATTTTATCACACTGCGAAAACAGTGAATAAAGCATAGAACAAGAATCTACCGTTGCATTGCAAAATAACGGATTTCTCATCAGCTGCAAAGTTTGTGGTTGAAATAAGCTGTGGAGATGTGTTGGTCTCATTTTTTAGTTTTTAAACATTATTAAATATTGAAAATATATTTAAAAAATAAATGAATTGATTTTAAATATCACGCTAACAACCTGCATTTAAATTTTCGGGATATCCCCAATAGTTTAGATTTTATAGCCCAACAAGCTTTTTTAAGGTGCTGGTTGAAATAAGCTGTGAACCACTGTATGTCGTGTCTTCGTATATTTAAGTGTTTGGATCGGCAGCGGTGGCGTTCCTGTGTTGTAGCTTCGCAATAATACGAAATATTGCATCAACTTTGACGATGCTCTTTTGGTAGTATTTTTGTAGCTAGACAAAGAACCGTTAAAGCGCGGCGGCAAAGAAGTTGTCGCCGAGTGTAGTTCGGTGCGAAGTAGAGAAAAGAAAAAGAGCGAGAGGCAATCATAATATGAGTTGCCTACTTAATGCTGCGCTTTCAAATGTGGAAAATGGCCGTCCGTTAACACATACATATACATGTATCTAAAATATGAATTGGGTTGCGTTTCGCTTTTATATCCGGATCACATTGAAAATGTATGTAACGGTAAGGAGGCGTGGCAGACCCCATAAATTATATATATTCTTGATCAGGATGACAAGTCGATTGAGCCCTAAAAACTAGGGATTTGAATACCATACGCAGTACAAGTTTATCTTTTTTTGATAATTCATCCCAGTTGCTTATCTATAAAAATCGATAATTTCAAGATGGAAATATTCAATTTGTTGTGGGGACTCCTTCAATAAATACGTAGATTTTGTATAAACCTTTTGCCGTTTCCAAATGGATATCTAACTTCAGCTTTTGAGCATATCTCAAGCAATCTCCTAGTCAAGCTTTCTCGTTCAGGCTAACAAATACAATTTTGAAAAACTGTAAATTGCCACAAATATTAATTTTAGTAAACTTTATTATCAGCTTCACATTCTAGCAACGGACCACAAAAAATGGCAAATAAGTCCAACAGGTTTTACTTTTGGACCACAATCTTTACCCTAACAGTGTCTATGATAACGATTGCAGTATTCTCTGGATTCTATCACTCAACGAGTAAATTAAGATCAATGTTCATGTCTTTGTTGCTGGTGTTCATGTTTCACTATCTGGTCGGAGATCCAATCAGGTTTGTAATATTCTCAATCTCGGACGCTATTTGGCATCCGAAACCCCACAAGTTTGCAACAGATTCAGAAGTCGGTCATCAGACCCGGTTAGATTATTTAAAGTTGCGATTAAAGAGCTTACGGGCCCATCTCTTAATACCGGAAAAACATCGTGACGAAAACTTGAATTCCCAGTACAAGGAGATAGAATATGATTTGTGGCAGTATGGAAAGTACCTTGCTTGTTTAATACTTCTGGTACTGATAACTGCCGATGGCAATGCTTATCAAACTAAAAAGTGCCTTCAGCATCTCTTTAGCCACAATTATTCGACTTCTTATGGTTTGCTCGATGCGAACGAAATAACAAGTGCCTATGATTTCATAGCAACTTTGCCCATCAATGACTTCCATCTTGATGGCGATTCTAATAGACCAGAATGGGTGCATGGCAATCAGACTAAGTTGCTTGGAGTCGTTCGACTACGTCAATTGCGTGTGACCGACGTACGGCATGATAGACTGGCTGATCCTCCATTCTCGAACGAATTGTATATGCCTGGATGGAAATTACCATATCAGCGCTTACCTTACGATAATGTCTATTGGCGCATCTATCAACCGTGGATACCCAAAATTTCGAACGTGAAGACGCCATCCTATCTACGTTCCGATGAGGGATATTTTCGGTCATATCCCATGTTAAGTGGATACGTGGCGCTACTAGCCCGAAGTCACCAGAATAGTCTCATGATAGTAGACTACCTACGTAACAATAACTGGCTCAACTACAATACTTCCGTTCTATTCATTGAGTATTCCTTGTACAGCACTGATGCCAAATTATTGAGTGTATGCACTTTGCGCCTAGAGCAAACACCCTTCGGCACCACGATACCCTATGTGGATGTGGATGGCATACGTGCACTTGAAATCGATGACCAGCTTACAGATTGGCAACTATTTTTGATAGTTGTGTATGCCATTGTGTTTCTACAATTTTTGAAAGGTCTTGTGAAACAGCTGTGGTTCAATCCAGAAAACATTCGAAGCATATGGAACATAGTGGATATTGGAATATTGGTGCTTAACTTGGCCATAATAGTTCTGCTTTGGATACGTAACCGGATGATCACAATGATTCTCAAACATCTTAGCAACAAGAGTAAAATGGAATATATAGAGGTAACGCCGGTCAATCTCTTGACTAATTTTACCAGAGAAACCATTGGGTTTCTCTTATGTTTAACAACTCTACGTCTGTGGAAAGCTCTCACATTCTCCAATGTCTTTCATATCTTCACACATACGCTGTATTTGGCTTGGGAAGCTGTTGCTACCGTTGGTATGTTCATAATCGTGTTAATCCTAGGCTTTGGCATGGCGGTATCTACAATAAATGGCAACAACAGCATACAATTTTCTCCGCTTAGCCACAGCATCATTACATGTACATGTTTTACCTTTGGGTTTACCCATGGCCTCGAACCGGAAGACCTATTTCATGGCGGCAAGATTATTGGCACTTTCTTCTTTTCTATTTTGGCATTCATTATTTCTGTGATTTTGATAAATATGTTCGCTTCTATAATTAACGATTACTTTTACGCTGCAAAAAGTCAAAGGTATACGAAATCTGAGCGTCGCATCAACATATTTGAATTCATGTATGCCGAACTGAGCTATTATATTCTATGGCTGAATCAGTTACGAGTCTTTCGTCAGTATTATCATCGAAAGAATCGAACTGTTTCTGAAAACATAGAGCATGAAATAAAAGCGCTCAGGAAAAAGAGGTCGACGTGGCTAGGCACCAACACAAACACATTTATTGTACACCGAAAAATATATCCAATTGACATCAATGTGGAGCTGAGGGAATTTGAACGTAAACAGGAAAGAATCTATACAATCGGCGCTATAATGAATACTCAAATCGATATTCTCCAAACTCTTTCTGGGTATGATGAGGATATAACTGAAACAAAGAAATGAATAAAAAAATTCAGACTAAAATATTATCATATAATAGTGCGTATTGTTACTATGAAAAGATCCATCCATAATGTATACTTTTGGGTCTTGCAAAACTGAGCTGTGTACGAAGTCAATGTATCATTGTCCTTAGAAAGGAATGAAATGGATGCCTCCCATTCCTCCATTGTCTTGTCTATTGTCTAGAACTTTGGTACATTTTCATTTGCATGTCCCTAATATTTAATTAGGATCTTATTACCAGAGGCTAAGTTATTTAATAATCTCTTGTCCTTAGTTAAAAAATGGAATGGAAGGGTGTGAATATTTTTGTGTACGTATGTATCGAAGAAGGAAAGATAAATCGAACAGCAGATCGACGCAAGATCAGGGTATATCCTAGTCGAGCACAACCGATAAGAGTACTCTTACATTTTGCTGTCGCATTTTGAATATAGTCCGATTTGGTGGGCATGGACATACAAATAATCATCAATTTGTAGAGGATCTGGAGAAGATACATTTTTATCCGATTTGCCAAGTCCAGAATGGGTGTAAGACGACGAGGATACCTATGAGTATATATTATAAATTTCATACAGATAGAAGGAACACCAAATGGAAGTTTTTTTCAAGGGTGTTCGGGAACGTTATATTGATTAAAATATTTGTATATAATACGTACGCCATTCGGCCACATTTATTAATACATATTTATATATAATATAATATTAGGAATTTAAATAAATAAAAATTGAAATGCATAAGTGCGCATTTTGTATGGAATAATAAATTTTTTACATTTGTTTTCTAGAATTTAATTTCTCTAATTTTGCAATATTGTAAATTCTAATATTTGGCTTATATGTGTTAACTATTCAATAGCATTTTCCAAATTGTAGCTTAATGTTCGATTGCAATTAAACTTATTTTTCATTTTCGTCAATTTAATAATAATTTAGAATTTCATCCACAGTAGAGTGAGAACTTTTATATTTTTCTTAAAGTTATTTTTAAGGTTTTTTGTTGTATTATTTAACTCGCACCACCCTAAAATTACATATAAATATAGATATTTTTGGGGGAACAAAGCGAAATATTGTATCTGTATTGTATTAGGGATCTGATATTCGCAGAATATTACAAATCAAATTACAAAGTCGCACACCACAAAGTATTTTTACTGTGACTTTCTTTGATGCTTGAGTAATATTTTTAAAATATTTTCAAATAAATTTTTTTTAATCAGAAATATATTTTTTTTTTATTTTTTTCAGAAATATCTTAGAGAAGAACTTCAGAACAAGCTACTTCCTCGTTTAGACTTTATATTTTTAAGGAATTATTTTAGATTACATTGCATCTGTATTTGAAAAAATATTCAAGATTTCGGTTGAGATGGATGCCATTTCTACTTTATTATAGTTAGTGGTATTCGAATTTTTATACTTTAAACCACATTCATATATTACTTATTCATTGTTACATGCTTTCCGTTTGTTTTGTTGTAGTTAAATTCTTATGCAAATTTTTAAATCGTCTTATTAAAGTTTAAGACATATAGTTTTTAGTTTGTTCTTAGTTTAGCATCTGCTTGGAATGCATTTTTAGTTTCTAAATGTCTATTTGCTAATACTGTTTCCTTTGTTTTTTTTTTTTTATAATTTCGAATTGGATATTTCAGCTTATTTGGAAGTTCAGCTATCAATCGAAAAATCGAAAATAACAGAATAATAATAAGTGTTATATATTATTTGTGATGTTCACTCTACGAAGCTATATTCATTAAAATCTTTATAAATTGCTATATCCTAAAAAATCTTGATGTGGGAAGACAGTTAACGTTAACATAAGGTTGCATCGATCAAATACTTAGTAACTTATAAATTGCAATGTGAATATCAAGAAATGTTTTAAATCAATTTTAGTAAAGATTTGTTTCTTAGGTCCCATTTACAAAATTTGTTTTTGAAAACAATAATACCGAAACATTGTATTTTTAGAGTTAATCAAACTGAAGAAAAATTTTACAATTAGAATTTAAAGTTTTCTTATGCTTAAAACTAATAAATAGGAAAAAAATTATCTTGACTTCGTTACTGAAAATCCTGAAGAAGTCGTCTAAAATAACCACATGATAATTAGCAAGGAGACCAAGAATATAGAGGCTTTCATTAGTCCACTAGAATTACAACCATCTTCTTTGCAGCAATAGGTTTGGGTCTCCCAAATTTCTGTAAGCAGAAGATTGTTCAACATTAAATTAAATTAATTAATTAATCATTGAAACCATATTTACTACTTTTAATGTTCCATATAAATAACAAGTAACCTCTAAGACTGCTTCACTAGGAGATAGCCTGCACCTGCACTGGCATATCATACAACTCCTCTTGTTTATATAGGATATATCACAGCTAGATATACATCTATACTATAACAGCTATGCTATACCATATACCCGATTACAAAGTAAAATAAATATTTATGTTTTCTGCAATATTCGAATTGCTATTCCTCAGTGTATCTTCGTTATAGAAGCAGTGTATCTTCGTTATATTTTAAAATCAATTCAATTTTTGGTACAGTAAACGGCCTTTTCCAATATATACTCTTCCGTTTTTGAACCGTTAGAACCGAGTATAATGCAATCTTAGATACCTGACTGCAAAGTTCTCTCTTGTATTCTAAAGGCTTTGCAAATGAACTATATTAAACTTAACTATTTAACTTTTTAAAATATATTTTTCCCATTTGCGGTCGTGTGAGAATTCAACTTATCCATTTAATCAGCAGAGTCAGCGCACAAGCACCTACTCTATTTACCCAATTTTTAATGGACTTGACGTATTTGGCCATAAAAGTTGATAGTCATAAAAACAGTTCTTAACGGGTAAACGTGCAATCAAATGTACCGTTAAATATTAAGTGATACGTTTTATTAAAGCCTTGTGGAACAGATGCCTGATATGTATTTGGTAATGGAAAGTTTTCGTGTTCGTAGAATTTATAGTCTCTGATAAATGTGGATATTTATCGATTTTTGTCATGCTTATTCTTATTATTGTATAGCACGAGTAACCTACCTTTCTCGACGCATTCAGTAGCACAATCTCGCACAGTCGACAATTCGCTGACATATTTCTGAAAATCAAATAGAGAAAGCGAAATACGGCAATTACTTAATATGTAAATAATTTAAAATAGCCTACATCAGAGTATTAAATTATTATTTATAAGCTACCCAGCCTTTATTTGCCAAGCTGTTTGTTTCGAGCACTGTTTACTGAGCTTATGGATTTTACGGGGAGCGACTGACCGACTAGTTGATACCTACAAATTGATGCATACAAACACACACACACAAGTGTACACACTCTGGGAAGGGTGTAGCTGTTTCAAAATTGAAAGTACAAAAGGTAGCATCCTAATATTTTCAGTTTGATATCGACTTAGGTCGATGTCATTAATGACATTTGAGGCAATTATGCAGAGAATGTTGGGCCCATTTATTGTATGAATTATTTGATTCTCTTCGTTCTGTTGTAGATAACTTTTCTTTTATGGACCATTAGCGAAAATGAAAACACGAACATGGACGACAAGCGTCAACCACGACCCCATTAGATAGTGCAGATACTAAAACAGCGAACAGCATAACAAAAGTTTGGCTTATTTGTTTGTCAACCGCTTTTTAATTTACAACCATCAAATAAAATGAAAATAATATGCACAGCTCTGATAATTATATAAATAAAAGCATATTCATATGTGTGTATATAATCCAATATAGATTGAGAGAGAGGAACTACATTGCAGGCATTTATTTATACACATTATATGCCATTGCGGTTAGTGCAATTAATTTCACACTTAATTTGTTATGCGCATTTAATTTGGCCTACGGTTTGGATTGAGATAAAACCATTAATTTTTAATGGAATTAAATTATTACTGTATAATATTGTTTCAATGGAAATTCCAATAAATTCATTTGTTTTACAATTAGTTATGGTTTCCTTAGGATAAGCGGCAAAGACTAATATATTTAAATAAGAGTGCTGTAGTCGGGAGTGTCCGACTATGTGAAGTCCTGCACCACGCGCAAAGCTGCAGTTTTCTGATTTATAACTAAATTAGAATATAAAAACATATATGTTGCTGATTCAGATGCGAGTCAAAGGTGAGGTGTATTGATTTTCTCTAAATTTATATAACAAACTTAAATAAAGCAACTCTGACTTCCTCTCTCTGATAAGCTGAAGAGCATATCAATTTCTGTACTCTTCATTCCTCTTTTAGAAATATTTGTTCTCTCTAAAAGATAATAGTAGGTAATCTCAACTGATATTTGGTATATCCCAAACTCTTTGACTTAATTCTGCTTCACACGTAAGATGTAATCTAAAGCCTAATCTAGAGTCTAAAAAAAATTAAAAATATATATATTTAAACTATTATATAATTTAAAATTTAAATATATTATATAGTTTTAAAGATATATATATGTAAATGTCAAATATAATTCCAATTATAACTACCATTCAAAATACAATCACATAGCCGAGGGATACAACTCGCCTGTAGTGTCAATTCATAAGCCTATTTAGATGTAATTGCTTACTTATTTTATGTAAGCAAATAAAATATATATTTTTTAATCAGAGCACAGTTCATGGCAAGAGTGCGTTACCATGCAGCTAAACTTATAGAGGTTTGCACGTGCTCAGACGAACAGGTTAACGGGTGAGGGAGAGGGGGAGATGGAGCTGCCCTGCTGACGGCTTATGCAGCACTTAACCCGCTTAATCGATTGCGTCGAGGCAACAAGAGGGACGACCTGATACATCATGGCGTGCAAGTGGCCGCATCGAAAAACCCAAAGCCCTCTGCAATGGTCTTTTGGTCTTTCTGTCTGCTGGGTGGCACTTAACAACTTTGCGTGTGCTAATGCCATGTGCTCCTTGAGCTTTATGATATCTGCAGCTGGCAGTCAACCGAGAACATGGCAAGTGTGTTCCTATGTATGTGTGCTAATGTGTGTTGACACAGGGTGGCTTATTATGTTACGTCACTAATGCGTTTGTCTTGCTGCCAGCTGATAAATGGCCCCATTGGGTTTGTCAATTATTCAGTTTACGGGTAAAGTACAATTGTACGGCTATGTGTGTCTATCTGTCTGCTTTAATAGGATAACATCGTTAAGCAAAAGATATGTCAGATTAAAATATGAGATTCGGTAGATGCGCTCTCTATGACAACTAGACAATGACAAATTGCATACAAGTATAAAACTCTATTAGATGTTTGCTTGCCAAACGGAGTAATTTAGGCACGAGTTCATAGTCGTCTCTAACTATGTCTTCTAAGTTAGACAAAATGAAAGTGAGTTATGTGTATTCCAAAAGAAAAATTTAATAAAATACCTTTAAAGTTGTTTTCAACTATTTCTATCTACAACTTTGTCTGAAGTTAATTTTCATATATTTGGGATTATTCGGATTTTAATTTTCCTCTTAACCTTTTTTGCTACTCTCTCTTCACAGTTTTGTCTCTCCTTCTCTTTCTCTCTCATTATCGTTCTCTCTATCTCTCCCGTTGCCCTTTCACACTCTCTTTTTCTCTTTTTCCCTCTTTCTTCTTCTTGGTCCCTCTTTCTTTCTGTGTCGTCTTTTGGATTCTCTTTACTCTCTTTCTCTCTCACTCTCTGTCTCTCACTCTGTCTCTCTCACTCTATGTCTCTCTTACTCTCTTACTCTCTTTCACTTTCACACAGAAAGTCTTTCACTCACTTTTTCTATCTGGATGACTCTTTCTCTCTCTCCCCCTCCAATGCTCTCTCTCTCTCTCAAAAATCACCATATCAAACGATAATATATTCGAGGTTTCAACGTTGAAATCCTTTGAAAACAGAAGAGCATTGCACAACACGAGTGTAGGATGTTCACTTTGTGAACGGCCAATAATTCGTAGCCGCATCTAGCTTAATCTAATCTTACGTAAATACTTCTGAATGTTACCTTAATATTCTTATATTAGATTTTATTGCACGTTCGCAGACAAGATTTATCTAAAAAGGTGATTTAAAAATGTTTCTTAGTTTATTTGTTATTTTTAAGCATTATTCGCACTATTCAAAAATTTAAATTGCTGACATTTTCTTTGGCTGTCCAAAGCTTCAATGACCTTTAGTTCACACTTCAGTTTCCACAATCAGAGCACAGGGAAAGCAGTCAACTCCATGGTTCGCTGTAAAGGAGATTTGTCAGCTTTCTCTGGCTGCTGCCCATTATCAAATGCAATTTCATCAATGCACCCGAAAACTCAACCTGAAAGTATGCCTGAAATTTGATTTTCTATGTGTGTGGGTGGGTGTGTGTGTGTGTGTACGATGTTGTGCACTTTCATATACTCGACGCTTTCAACCAGAACGAGGTTGACGAGCAGTTGTCAAGTCTGCCAGCCGACAGCTTCCATTTGGCCCATACTGCATACTGCAAGTATAATATTTTGCAAGTGCAATTTTGTGTAACACGCCCACACAAACAACTAACATCAATGTGCTCTGGAATAAAACGGCGCAACTCACTCGCTCACTCCGCCACTCACTTCTGTGGGATGCTGTAAGGCAGCAGCAGAGGTAATATGATTACCAAAAAATGCCAAAAGCTGAGCTGCCTTTGGCCATGCCGTAGACGTAATGCAATAAACTGATTTTTGCTGCCAGCTGCAACGATTGTCTGCACTTATCTAGCAGCCATGCAGCAATCGAGAATGGATAGAATTATTTAAATTTGCATCGGCTACCACTAGTTTAATGAAGTTGCAAACATAGCCAAAAACAAGATAAAATCCTATTTTAATAAATTTCTACAACGTGTTTGTGGCATTGCGATGATGACTCTCCTTAAAAGTAAGCCAAAACGAAAACAGAAAAAGTTATAGTACGCACTCTTATCGGCAGTGCCCGACTAGCATGTACCCGGTTTGTAATTGTTACTTGCCTGCTATCTATGCAGTCATACAAGACACTTGCTTCTTCTTGTACCCTAACTGATTTCCTGTTTATTGTCTATTGAAATTCATTCATGCACAAATTGAACACCAGATGGGGTCGAAGGCATCCAGTTAGTGGGTTACTCTACTAATTTGTGTTTACTTTAATTGAGTCCAGTTGACTTTATCAACCAATAAAGAGTGTGAGACAGATTTAAATAACAAAGCCATTCAAATAAACAGATTTCTTGGAAATGGCGAAAGGTATTTATAATTATATGCAAAGTTGGTAACACACGGTTCTTATAGGCTCTGAGGTCCATCCGTACAGACAGCCGTACAGTTGGGCAGACAGTGATAAAGCGATTTGGTAGTTGATCAGGTATATATATATACCTTATGGCCCGCCTTCCCTTACTTGTTCCACACAGCTGAAAAGTAATTTCAATTTAGTGCTTGATACGAATTAACTGGCTTGAAAGCAGGCATAGATATTTAACAAAAATGTTAAGCTTAAATGAAATATCATGAATATTAATAAACTTTTATTCTGGACTCTGCTTATGGGCAACATCTTTTCGTGTTTTGTATTAACAGATCGCTGCTCTCCGGAGTATTGCAATTTCGCCGGAGAATGTCAAATAGTGAAAAACAAACCAAATTGCAGCTGCTATGAGGACGCATTTCAAGGAAAATACTGTGAGCAAGTCAAGAATCTGTGCAAGACGACAAAAATCAGCTGCCCCAGAAACCAGATCTGTGTTCCCTATGTAGGCCAGGCTGTTTGCAGCTGCCAGCCACAAATAAGGACATACAAATGCAGTCTCTCTAAGCCCCTGTGCAGTTACAATATACGAGTGGTCTCTGGCATGGAGGAGCCTATTGTGTTGAGCTTTCAGCAGCTTAGCGCAGACCCCTTGGAAATAACCATATCGACGCCAACATATATGATTGCCTATTTGCCACGATCGAAGCCTAACGGAAGTCGTTATACAAACAATCTAACAGCAACGCTACACGACTTGGGTATCAGGAGACATATGAAGCCGCCGTACAACGATGCGTACTATTACGTATTTAAGGCAAAGCATTACACTGTGGGCGCCAATCAATTGACAGTGAAGATCAAGTCCTTTGGCAAGGCAAGAACGAAAACGTTGGCATCTTTATCGCTAATGGTGCACGTAGTGACGCCCAGATTCTGCATACCGCACGTTGTGTTCCAGCACTGCATGGATCCAAATAAGCCCAGGCTAGTCGATGTCGAACACTTTTGCAACTTACAAGGAATTGTGGAGAAGCATTGCATGTCTTCCAGCCCCAGTCTGCAAGCCCAGTGGGCGGTTTACAGCTTTTTTAATAACTGTAAGAAGAGCGTCCACTAAACTACTCACTGCTCGCCAGCCTCTGTATACACTTAAGCTTTAGTATTATATTCTCTTCCCAGCTGACAGCTATATCCTAGTGGACGGGAAAGATCTGATGCTTAAGATACCCCGCTATACCCTGTGGAAAGAATCTCTACTGAGTTTCTACCCCGATCTGTTAGTTTCAGTGGAGCTTTCAGTTAAGGAGGAGCATGGACCCTGGGTGCATACAAGAGTAAGTAAATCAAGCAACGATCACAAATACTTAATTGCTAATCATTCGTAGTGCTACTTAAATATGACAGCGCGAAATGTGATTGCTAATATAGCCGGAGGACAGTATAGGGAAATCAGTAATCAAAGTGAGTGGCTGACGCTTGATGGCTCCCAAAGTCGTGAGCCCGGACAAAGCGGAAGCGCCTCTCAACAACTAACATATACTTGGACCTTGAGGTCCAGTAGTGAGCCTAATGAGGTAGATATTAGCGTTGAGAGCTCCGGTAAGTATGCATTAAAAGTCGATCTCACAGGTGACTCAATAATGCCGTTGCAGATCCGAGGCTAACAGTTCCGACTAATATTCTGAAGGTAGACGAAGAAAACATAATCACCCTGAAAGTGTCAAACAAATTTGCGAAAGCACGCACCAACAGCATCAGCCAAGTTATTGTAGTAGTTAGCCATAATGAGCTTCTCAGTGTAGAAATAGAATGTGTCAGGAATTGCCAAAGGAACTTCTATGCCGTCGATCAAGTGTTGCACCTGCGTGCCGTATGCCTCACTTGCACTGACTATTGCAGTTACAAATGGACACTGAACGGCGTTGATGCGCAGCAGAATAAAAAACGATTGGTAACACGGTTGGCAGCTGGTTTGGTGGGTCAATTGACTGTCAAACTGAGTGTCATGGATCAGGCGGGCAACGGGAACACCGAGTTAAAGTTGCAACAAGCGCAGCCACCACAAGGCGGCAGTTGCACAATTCAACCATCTACTGGCGAGGAATGCGTTACCAAGTTTCATATAAGTTGCCAGAACTATGCTTCAGCGCATCAGGAGCCGATCCTGTACACCTTTAGAATGGGTCACATTTATGTTGAGAACATCAACTCGGGCGAAACATTTCTTTATCTGAATGGGCGAGACTTACTGACTGTTCGCATTTGTACCTATTACTTGGCTTGCACAGATGTCCAGATACCCGTTACGGTTCTTAGCCAAGAATTCAATGAGACCCCCAACATAGTTGCAATGTTAAGGGAGGGACGTAGACAAGAGGCGTTCTGCGTCTTGCACCTGCTTTCATTTAGTCCAGAAAACATGACTACTTTTACAGATTCCGATGACTCCTTCAGAAGTGAACTATCGTTTGCAGCCTTGGAAATGGTAAATTCACTTGAAATTGCGAATAATTCCCTTTCAACACTGAAATCATCGGAAAGACTGGAACTTCGAGCTGTATCTCATATTATTAAAAGAGCGGATTTTATTTTTAATTTTGTTCGCGAGGATACGGAAATTTTAGATCTGACTGAAGATATTTGCCTGGATTTGGGCAAGCTATTAACCTATATACTTACATACTTTACGATCTCGGATAGGGAAATTCTGGAACTAAATTCGTTTCTCACGCAAGACAAAGATTTATTCCATGGAGTCTCTGTCAATTGGACACGGTTAGATCATAATATTGTATTACGAGTAAGTACACTTGTTTCAATTGTAAAGGGAATCTTCTCAATGTGGCACAAAACTGGGGAACAATTGACTCGTTACATTCAACCGGAGGAGCCCTTTGATTATGTCCTAAATAACATTAGCTACAGAGTGGAAATGCATGATGCATACAAGCCCATCGAACATGAATCAAACAACACGTCCTGCTATATAACCTCATCTCTGCAAACGATTAAGATACTGCGCAAGATGCTTCAGACCAACTATCTGCTCTTTTACACTTGGTGCTTCACGTTCGATATATTCTGGTGGGTACCAAGGACTATGTCTCCAACAAGCGCCACTATAGCCTTCAATATTATGGGCCGTAATTCTCCCAATAATGATATAACAGCTAAATCAAATAAGTTGATTTTATTTAAATTAGGCTTAGAGCGTCTTTCGAACACCGCAGAATACGAGGAATCGAATGTGATTTTTGACCATGCGATATCTTATAAGCTAAGATTACAAGGTAAGGCTAATTTGGTAGTCAAGCTTTTAAGATCCTCAGCCGACCTGCGGGTGCTAGTTGCAATGAATGTTAAGCCGGTACTACGCAATATTTACGACCAGAGCTTCTACTTTCCAAAGGGCTTTAGAAGCAGGACAATTATTTTGAATAATCATTGTAGAGAGGACGGCATAGTTTACGTATTAATATATAAGGTCGCCAAAGACCCGGAACCAGCCAACTTCTCATTGCGCTTCAGTGCCCAAAAGCTCAGTGCCTTCGATATATCCAACGAAAGTCCGCGTTGGGTGAAAGTTGAATGCAATCTAAGGACTATGGTACGCAAATCTAATTACTCGCAATGCCAAGTGCATTATTTGTCGATATTTTCCGCCGCGGCGTATAAGGCAGAACCGATGTCCATCAAACAAGTATCCAGTAATCTGTTCATAGCCCCTCTTAACTTAGTTTTCGTGATGTTTTACTGTTTGATTATCTTAGGCGTGATTGTCATATTGTCCTGGGTCACGTTACGTGCTCGCCGTAAGAAGAAGAATTTAATACGTGTCATAAGATGGAAACGAGATGAAGAGGACCCAAGTACGGAGAATATCATTGTGCATTTGCAAACGGGCGGACGCCTTTTAAGCTCTACAACAGCGAATGTTAAACTCATATTTATATCAGATCTTGGACGCTACAAGGCAGTCGTATATCAGAATCCCGTAAATCCGTATTTGGAACTAAACACTTCTTGCATGCTACGGCTCAGTGACACGAGAGTCCAATTGCCCTGTCGATTGATAATTAGCCATGATACTTCCGGCCGATTTCCATCGTGGTACTGTCGGTCCATTCAAGTGGACGATCTACGGAACAATTTAAGCTATACGTTCCTGCTACATTGTTGGATACGGCGTGGTCAAAAGGTAATGGTCTCATGTAATCCGACGGAACGCAAGACTATTTTAAATCAGTTGCATCGGGTAAAAGACGCCAAAGGAAGTTTGCTATTCATACGAAGATTCCGATATTATATTCGGTTTTATTTTACGGACTGGTTCATGATGCAACCCCTTTTTGGACCCTGGCGCTACACTGACGAGTCCCTCGACGTGTACCAACGCACCTGTATATGGTTATTCAAAGCGATTATTACAATAACCGTCGTAGTCTGCTTCTACAGAAAGAGTACATTTTACAACAGCTTCAAGTTCCAGAACGACTTGACGTTATTAGGTATGACTGATTTTGTACTACTCGCTTTCGGCAGTTACATGTTGACGCTTCTTTTAACTTTCTGTTTGCAACATACAACACAGCCATAGATTGAGTTAACGGAAAACAATTGTAATTGCTTGATTATGTATGATTTTGAATGTCATGAAAATAAATGGGACTTTTTTATAAACAAGACATTATGTTCGACTAATTTTCCACTACTCTTTGATATTTCAACTAGTAGCCATAAACTGTCTTAACGAAATTCACTTTTGCTGTTGCATAAATCGATAATGTAGATATGAAGGCGCTTCTCTCTCTCAAGGCAGACGTATGATGCAGAGAATAAATAAAACTGTTTAAATATCAAATATGGTCGGATGACAGCCTGCATCTGAAGAGCATACCGCAAGTAAGCTATAGGATGACAAAAGAAAAGTCAAGACAGTTCAAAAAGAACAAAGCCCACTCTGTGATAATTTAAAAATTTAATAATATTCCCTAATTGACTAATTTTATGTAAATAGCAAAATTTCTTTAAAAAATAGTTTATTAATTTTAAGCTAGTTTGATGAAACGAAAGCAGATATTGATCGATTCAGGCCAGATCGATTATGCCAAGATCACTCATTTGTAGCGGTTCGAAGCCCAAAAAGGTAATTTTAGTCATTTAGAAGACATTGAAATTTAAGAAGCAAACATTTTGTAAAAGTGAAAAACTCAGCTAACTGAAAGATTTATGCGGCCCCAATTTTGAGTTTCCATAAACTTGGCTCATATCGCTCAGCGGAACCTAACATATATACCTAGAAATGTTTTCAGCTTAAAGTTTATTGCGTGTACATCCTGGCGCAGCTTTAGCTGCCAGCTTGGACGATACGAGTTTTGGGACAGCCGTAGCCGATGCCGTAAAAGAGCCACGTAAACGAAAATTCCGCGCCATAAATCACGTGTAAACATTTCAAGGTTTTGCTTTTGCTTTTGCTCGATGGCAAAAACCGAACTCGGAAAAAATACGGCCCAGAAAAAAGTGCTGCTGAAATGTGCTGCGAAATGGTTGCGTAACCGACAGGCTTAGACAACAAAACCCAAAGGCGGCTGCAGCCTCGGACAAGTGAAGTCACAAAAACAAAAACCCACGACACAAATCAACAGCAGCTAAATTGGACGTCAACATGGCTTTGATTGCCTTCTATATGCACGTATGTGTATGCGAGTGTGTCTGTGTGTAATAACATCAATGCTCGATGGCCACTTAAAGGAAACGAGGTGAGAGCAAATCCAAAAGCAAACTGACCAACACAGACACCCAGTTGGCCATTCGAGCAAGCACCACAACAGCAGCCCTGTGCCGACCGATATGTTAGCTTTTATGTGCATACATACTCAAATGAATCATCTGTTGGCAACTGTTGGCTTAAAGCACAGATTTCGACAATATACCAGCTTGTCATTCACAAGCATCTGTAAAATGCCATCGTGCGGTCGAAGGTGAAAACTGGCAGCCGTCAGCCCACGTCAGCCAAGCCAACCGAGCTGGCCAGCACCTGTCAGAGATCTCGATTTGAAGACTTAAAGTGTTTCGCCTGGCTCCCAGAAAATGGCATTCGCCATGCCTACAACCTACATTTGCCTGTCATTCAAAAAAACCAAAAAAAAAGAAGACTTATGTATGTCTCTGCAGTGAGTCTGTGTTGTAACCATTCAGTGTTAAATCGGTTTGCTTTTCTGCATTTTTCCATGCTCTGTGCACCAGTTGAAAGGGTATCAACACGAGAGAGGCTTCTACAGTGCCATTGTTTGTACATTACCTAGGCGTATTCATATCGAGGTTGAGTTTATTTATATATATAATACTATTAAAGATTACATATCGAATATAGACATGTTTGTGCTTTGATATCATACTGCAGTCAGTATTCTTAATTTGGTAAATATCGATTCTAAGCATGGTTGATAAAGCTACAAACGCATATATATACAAATCAAAATAATCTTCTATTCGAGATATTTTATTGCCTTGCCTTGCCTTATCCTCCGTTCTATAAATTTATTTGACCCAAAGACTGACAATTTGTATCTATTAAGCTTTACTCAATTCTTGCTTATTTGACCCAAGTCTTAAATCAGAAAAGGGATTTAGAATATCAGATAACTAAGCGTAGAGGAAGTCCGTTCATGCTTGGGCACACATATAATATAGAAATATACATAGTAGAGGATACTTTCAAGTCAAGCACTTTCCGAGTCGAGCGTTTTTACTTTTTCAACATTCAGTTTTTATATGGCAAAAGGCATTGCGATGCGAGTTGTTTCGCATTTCGCTTTTCGCGAGTTTATGCACTGTCGCCCCGCCGCTGGATGTGGGAAAGCTTTTGAGCGCGTTTCGGCCGTTTAATCAATTTAGTTGCGCTCATTTTCACCATTTCGCGCTCCGACAAAGCTAAATGGTACCAGCTGCGGCGCTCAGAGACAGAGCCAAAATTAAAAAGAGGCTTCAAGCAAATGCATATTGACGTGGAAGCAAGCCTGAATAACAAAAGCCCAGTCAGTATATAAGCATAAATTTAAGCATAATAAGTTAGTCTTCTCGTTTGTGTGACGTGAATAAGCTATTCCATATAATAATCAGAAATATTTGAGCTCTATTATATCAGCTAGAGTTAGTCCTTATATCTTGAATTCTATTTTCAAAAGGTCTTTTAAGGTATCTGAAAGAGTGTTAAAAGAAACTTCCTGAGAGAGATGTGGGTGAGTTACAGTTGCTTCAGATACCACTAGGGTTCGTTCTTATTTTTCAATGAAACTCCATGTTTTGATGTTGCTGAACCTCAACTGTAAAAGCGACTGCTTTTTAGTTTAGACTCGGATTCTGGGAAAAAACTTAGGAATTGAATTTTGATTCTAGGCTAGTAAATCCTTTTGTTATTTAAAAGCTTCATATTGTTATATTTATACTGCATTCATCTTAAAATGTATTGCTCTATATGTTACCTTAAACACGAAACAGCTCATACTGCATAAAAAAGAACAAAATAACTATATATTTAGTATATAACTGAGCTGGACGTACACACGCGGTTGGTCTGGCTCTGCTTTGTATGAAAAAGTCCTTTTGACAGCCTGGCGGTTGTAATTGTAAGTCTTGTAGTCAAAAGAGATGAGAGATGAGGTCTTACTGCGCACCGCGAGGCATCATTCTATACACACACACAGACATCTAGTAATTCTTATTATTATAAACTTATTCTGTAGTACATTATTATGTCCCATCTAGGAATAGAGACTCGTTCCATGAGCCCACTGTACATGTCCTTTTCATCGCAGTTTGTAAAGCTCACAAAGTGTGTTACTGCGGTAAATGAAAGTTATGAAAATTTAAATTTGCAATCGCTAAAAGCTTTTTAAAATTGATTTATTGTTGCACAAACAATTTTGTCTCTCGAGACGTCATCAGCTTCTATTCTGTATGATTGATTGCACTATTCAAACAATTGATTCCATTGCTCTGACCTTTTTGGTAGCTTTATGATTAATAGAAAACGATGCTTGAAAAGGCAAGGTAAACATCCCAAACATAAAGGCTCTTTAGTTCTTAATGAAGGTGATTGTCCCATCAATGAATGCTTTATCCAGATTATTGGCTAACTATAGGAAACAAGCAATTAGATTATAATTCCGAATACTGCAAAGATTGGCTTTTACTTTATTTGAAGCAAAGTGCCTAAGAAACAGGGACAAGGGGGCAGCTTGGTAAGCAAACACTCGGAGTATCTATTTCATAAAAGTTCTCTCATAAAATTACTCATTAAGTGTGGCACAACAAAAACTGTAATAGTTTTTGTGCGCCAAAACGGCGCTGTTACAGAGTTTTGGTAAGAATATTTAATTTGGCTCCAGCTTAATTCAGCTTATTTCAGTCGAAACATAAAAACAAAAAAATGATGTACCAAGTTTTTGCGACATCGTAAGCATTTGGCTTATTAGTCTGACAGACCTGAGACCTTTGTGCAAACATTTAGGTTTTTTATTTCGATGTGCTGGAAGCAGCATCATTTTTCATTAAGTATTCGCAGCGAATTGCAAAAGTTCGTTATGCACACGTACAATATATATTTATTGCCAATTGTTTTATATACGTGTGTATTCTGTCTCTCTGTGCCTCTGTGTGTGTGTTATATAAATTTCTGACTATAAATAACACTCTTTTTTTGCGGGGGAAAATGCGTGGCCTTGCTCAATGGGCTGACAAAGTGGCTTTGGGTTGCCAAACTTAATCGCACAAGTAGCCACGTTTCTGACTGAAAAACCTTCATCAACAACAGTTCGTCAGCAAATTCAACATTCAGTCTGGGTGTGCCATGAAAAGATATAAAAAAGAGCAAATTTGCATAACAAACTGTACAGGCTGTGGCTGCGTGGCTGCGTGGCTGTTTCCGATTTCAAGAGCTAATCCAACGTCCGACCCACTCTCTGTTGGCACAACCTAAGCCCCATGTGTCAGCTTCAGTGTTGCCGAAAATAATTAAAAATTTAAATTTTTCTAGCCGCAAATATGTCTACCAGTATCTGCGAAAGAGTTTTGCTAAAAGCCAAGGGAGGGATAGCACCGAGTCTTCGGTAAATTCGAGCCCATCTCAGTTGGCTGTTTTCATATTTCTGACAATCGAAATAAATAATCAAAAAGTTGGCTCAATTACGTATTCGTCAACAGGCAAGTAAATATATTTCAAGTAAAATAAGATATGTATTCGGGAATTTTAGTTCAAACACCTGAATCAGATATCGAGGATGAGGACAAGGAGTATATTGTAGAGAAAATAGTTGATCGGCGCATGCACATGGGGGAATTGGAATACTTTGTGAAATGGCAAGATTTCCCCGATGAGGATTGTACTTGGGAGCTATCGAAGTATTTAGACTGTCACGCATTGATAGTCGAGTTTGAGACGCAGCGGGCCAAGAAAAACCTCAAGCGACAAGCGGAGATAAAAATAAATGAGCTCTACGCGGTCAAAGCTAAGAAACTCAAGATTGAGACCTCTATAATAATGGACAATGCATTCGAGTATGGCCACAAAGCTGAGAAAATACTGTATGCCTCAAACAGCGAAGGTAAAATATCGTTTGTGATTAAATTTAAGGATCTCGATCAACCAGAAAGCGTAGCCTCTGACATCGCATACAGCTACATACCAATGATGGTGCTAATGTTCTATGAGGAGCATCTCAAGCTGCTGCATGCATTTTCCGCCAGTTGAATGTATTTGTGTCACTATTTTAATTGAAATTATATTTGTAAGCAGCACGAAGACAATAAATCAATAAGAAAGAGAGAAAACAGAAGGAATTCATTTAAGACTGCGCTTAACAGAAGCTGAAGCAAGTTCAAGGAGTTCACTCGAAGATCGACCAAAATGATCTGCAGATTAGGTCTAAGAGTCTCTTATTAAACCCAGAGCCCAGTCTACATAACTGTGGGCAGACCTTTGCCAAGCCAGCCACAGTTAAGCAAACCCAGCTGTAAGTAAGTTAGAAAGTACTTAGGGAGTTGTATGTCTACAGTGATGCAAAATAAATATGGGCACTTGGTCCCTTTCGACTGCTTTACCACTTCAGCCCGGAGCGCTGTCTGGCATAACAAATATTTCAAGTCTCTGGGGAAAACAAGGTGAAAAATGTGAACTCGTTAGGCGTGTTTACAGACAACGGAACTAGTTCAAAACCACAAAAATTTAGTTGCTCCTGTTGGGTTGCTGCGTTTGTTATTTAGCGGTTTTCAGCTTCTTTTTAATCTTGCTTCGCAGCCAGCTAAGCCAACCAGTGTGAGCTGATCGGGCTGACGACTGTGTTATACCCTGTTTCTCTTCTCATCTATTAAAACTCAAGTAAGAATAATATTCGCTTGCGAATCTAGAGTTTATTGGCTTTGAGCAGTTCGTCTATAGCTAGAGGATTGATGCTTCATATATACATATATCCGTTTATACAACTCTGGATAAGATTATTTAGTTAGTGGTAGCCTAACTGCTGAGCTCCTCTTTAGATCGACATTTGAGTGCAACAACCAATATCCACCTTTGCCCACTGCCTCGAGGGTATCGCACACTGTGCCATGTTGCACAATTTGTAGTTGCTGGTTTCTATGCAATGGAGCGCACGGCGGCTATGCGCAGCTTAAATTGGAAGATAACAAAAACAAAATAAAAAAAAATTAATTACGTGCCCCAGCGTGGACTTTGGTCGCTCCTTCTGTTCACTCTCGCTTGCTCGCGCTACTTTTTGTTTTTCGTGAGGTCAAGGGTTATACACACACATACATAGTCAATTTGTTGTTTTTTCTTCTCTGTTTTGTATATATTTGTTTACGTACTTGAGCCGCCATGAAACAGGCTTTAACAATGGCGCCATTGTTTGCCCAAAGACCCCGCTGGACTACTATGCCACTTATGTATGTATGTGTGTATTTGCACTCATGTGTGTGTGTGTGTGTGTGTGAAGGACCTTATGCTTGGCAGCTTACTATTGAAAATTGTAAATTATGCAGGCAAACGATGGCCAAAAACAAGTGCCATCAGTTTCATCTTGAAATCAACTTTATGCATACACACATGTATGTTCGGTACGCACATACATATACACGAGTATAAACGGGAATCATATAAATGAGCAGAGCTCCCCCCGCATGGGGCTGAGCAGACGGCGCCAACTATCCAACACCAACTAGTATAAAACTAATCATAAGCCCTGCCGCAGTAACACAATGGCTGCCGTCCAACCACAATGCGGCATCAGCTCCAGCTGTCAGCACTACAGCAACAACAATAGTAATAGCAACAACAACAATAGCGGCAGCAGCAATAGCAACAACAACTTTAACTTTCATAACAGCGATAAGAAGGGTGGCAGCTGGTCCTGCTCCTGCTCCTGCTCCTGCTGCTGCGGCTGCTCCTGCTTTGCTCTAATCGTTAGCGCTTATGCTGCTGTTATTCATATATAAACAAAAGTTTTTAATACTCTTGCCAGGGGCATTACAATTTAGTGGCCCACTGCACAGAATCAGCTTGTTCCTAGATTTGAGTTTATAATTAATTTTTACAAATATTCGAATAGTAAATAGGAAATAGCTGCAATCAGCTGCAAGCGGGCAGCTTAGGTTTTTGGGTAACACAATGGGATTCGAGTCTGCAGCCTCGTTGTTCAGAATACTAAAATATATCCATACACGAGTCTGTCATGTCGGTGTTGAACATTTCAAACTATAAAAATATTTTATAAAAATAGAGTTTATGTCATATAAAGATTGATTAGTTGTAGGCGAACAATCGAATCAGGTTTATTTCTTTGATTTGTTGGCAGTTTACAAACAGTATTTAAATAGTTTTCTAAACTTTATCAACTATATCAAATGCTTTCAATTCTGCATCAATTTCAATTCATCATGTCAGTCGCTGGCATCCAAATCTGATTTCCACATGTTCCTTCTATGTCTCAGGCAACAATAAATGCGAAAATATTTTTTTTAAATAAAAATTTTTAAATATAAATTAAATGTTTTAAATATAACTAATAACTAATATAACTTAACTAATTAACTAATATAACTTAAAATAACTAACACTTTGAAACTTAACAAAACTATTCATGTGTAAAAACGAAGATAGACTTGGAAATACACTTGCCAGAAAAACTATGCGTACAGGCCTAATGAGCGACTTTGATAGAGAATAAATATGATAAATAATAGTATATTTATCAATATTATATTTTTTAATGGAAAACAATTTAATAACACACATTTATCAACAATTTTTTTTCATATCAAACAGTTTTTTTTATATTTAAAATAAGAAAAAAACAACGAAAATTCACTTAGAAAAAGTATGTTAGTAGGAAATATATATGTGTATAATCTGAAGAAGCTTAAACATTAGCGTTTTTATTTTCATTTCTTCACAAAAAATAATAGTAATCATTTCACAATCGTTAAATATTATTTAAAGTTAGCTTTATGCCTCTCTATGTATAATAACAGATACAAATATTTATAAATTCCTATTAACATTTATAGAGGTAAAAATGATATTGTAATAAAGCTCAGAAATAAGTTTTTTTTAAATTTAATTTACTTTGTTTTATTTTATTTTGCTTCATTTTTTTCTTGTGTTGTAATTTATTTATTTTTATTATTTTATTTCAATGAATTATTTATTTTATATATATTATTGCTTTTATTTTTGGTTTTTATTGTTTTTTTTTTTTAATTTATTTTAATTCTTTTGTTTGATTTTTTATTTTTCTATTTTTTTCCGAAATAGATATTTTATTTTTTACTTGATATATATTATTTATTTAATTTTTAGTTTTGTTTGTGTTATTTTATTTATTTATTATTATTAAATTATTGTAATTATTTATTTGATGTATATTTTATATTTTATATAATTTAATACTTATATATAAATTAAAATCAACTTTTTAAAATGTTTCTATAATCATTTATTTGGAGCTCACTTTGCCAACGCTAATATTTTCAATTTTCAGGTACAGGAACAAGATTATTTTACGGCGTAGTTTTAAATGATGAAATGTAAATTGTGAAAGGTTAAATTGCAATACCTTTCTGGGCATATTAGAAGTCATTTCCTTGAAATGTAATTAGAATGCCATGAGCTTATATTTAGATTCTAGGAAACAATTTACGTAAAAGGGTATTGCAGGAGCGGCTTTTTGTTTATGTTTGATTATTTTTGTTTTGCGTTGCTACACACTCTGTGGGATATTTGCTTTTTTGGGGTAGCAGCCACACATTTCTGCTACCCATTACTTTAAGACTGGCTTAAATGATGCGGCTAATTAATTGGGCGCTTTGCTGTAAATACCAAAATTAATGGCAACAATCAACAACAAGCGCCGTGACGTTGGGGTCGACAAAATGGAATTAGCTACAGCTCCTAAGATGACACCTTCTTTTGTATGCAGGTATATCATTAAGCAGCTCATTAACAGTGGCAGCCTTAAGGACAGCTGGCTATAACTGAGGCCATTTTCAAGTAAAACAAAATTCAATTTCAACTAATCCATTTTATCGGTATTAGCAACTCGCGCTTATTTTAACAGAACTATTTTTGCATCTCAGTCCCTGCATGTTTTACCTATAGTCCACGGACCCTAATAAAATTAAGAATTTATCTATAAAGAAATGAGACCGCTATGAGACAGGCTCCCCATTATCTTGTATATTTATTCTTGATCTGGTTACACAGCCGAGTCGAGGGAACCTCACTTTAGAGAACATCTCATAATTCTACGAGCTTCGGTCACTCTATAAAAAAATATATACAATATGTTCGCAAATATATTTCTAGTATGTCTCCTCCATTAATACACATTTACGCAAACAATAGTTTCGCATCTGGGTTAGGGTATCTCCTAGTTGCACACTGTCGACAAAAATGACTTTTACTGAATCGTTCACACAAATTCTTCTTAGCACAGTCGACTTTACTGAATTCGTAACTTTTATGTTTCCATGAAATCAATTTCAAACGATATCGAGTTTCAGTTCTTTGCAAACAACTACTACATGCACGACTGAGTATTTAGATTCTCCGAAAGTATGCCCAACTCTAGACACTTCCACCGTATATAGCATTTATGGGAAAATAACAAAAGCGACGACTTGAACGCGTCTCGGTTAAGGCCTTATCTACTACATTGTGTATTTGGATAAATATTATGAAATGTACGCATCACATAATTAGTCAATGCTTACATTGTAAACATACTTTATGTAGGTACCCAATGTTGAAGGCAGTTTACTGTTCGCAAGTTGAAAATTGGAAATTTGTACAGCGCCCACTCTACTCGGATGCTGATTAAAGCAATTTGCGGGCTTGGGCACAGGACATGCAGTCGTGCAGTGTTTGGCAAGTAGCTGTAAATATTTAATGATTCCCCAAAACCCACAAACTGATTCCCGACTGGCAGCCACTGGCTGAGATCCAGGCAGTGCAATTGGTTAAGTGCTAAACACCCTGGAGGTCTGGCTGGGAGCACATGATGAGGCCCAATTTATGTGCTCAACCAGAACGCGAGCTACACTCAATATATAAATATATATATATTTCTATATATGTATATATATATAAATATATGTGTGTGTGTATGTGAGCGTATATCAAACCACAAACATTATACAATATGTGATTTGCATAAACAATAAGCGTTTACAAATGGCCTATTTCATGTGTAAGCCAGAGGGCCTTAAACTAATTAACTATTCAATATTAAGTAATGCGCTGCAGTTTAATAGAATAAACACCATGCGGCATAGCCCTTGGCATTCAAGCCAATTAAACAGGCAGTGTACGCATTCGAGATTAGGGTATGAATGCTTAAAGCCCTTTCTGAGTAAGTATTCCCTCCGGCTGTTAGGGCTGAGATAAGATACTATTATCGTGCATATAAATTAGAGAGTTGTGCTGACCATAACAAACATTAAGATCAAACGACTTGTGGGGAAGCCAAACTTGATTGGGTTAAGTCATTGCTCGTTATATAACTAATTATAATAAGCAATATTAAGCGAAGAGAGGCAATAGTTTTAATGCCAGTTTGAGTAGTTCACGGACCAACTGCAGGAACCGGAAGGCTCCTAATGGATGCAAGCTTAAAAGTAGAACTAAGGCGCAAACCGATGTGATCGGTGCAAATAACAGCAGCTCTTTGTTGGAAGCAGTCAGCACAGATTATCCTATTATGACAGCTGATTATTGCCTCTGGCTAAGCGAAAGTTACAGCAGATGGATAGCAAGAATTATCCTGATTCCCCACAAATGCTCTGTGGTCATGGTTACTTTCGAAAGATGGGTAAGGCACAGAATCAAATTGCATTTCCGCGAAATGAAATGAAAAAGGCAGAACACACTTTGATTAACTGCGAAAGACAGAAGTAAGATTCGAATCTGTCGGTGAAGTCGAAGTAGAGGCTTCAGTAGAGCAAATATGCTTGAAAACAAGTCTGTGGAAGGGCTTGAAGATTAATGCTGGGAGACTCCTGGTTCCAGAGTGCGGATAGCCCAAGAATGAGAAAATTTTTTAGTCAATAAGTAGTAATGTAGTCCGACACAGCGGTCAAAGTGACGACCTGATTGACATCCATAATAAATAATAAAACCCTCAAAACTGCTAAAGCAATCGATATTTATCGATTCATCCATAATAAAAAAACTTTTAAAACTACTAAGCCAATCGATATTTATCGATTCATTTTTAAAAAAATTCAAAACTACTGAAGCAAACGATATTTATCGATTATAGCAAAGTTGAAAGATTTATCAAATTAAAATTATGAAACGGTTCTGCGCACAGTTTAGAAGCATTTATATCTAAAACTTCGATTATTTAGATCGCTTGTATCATACAGCATGGCGCATAACATAAAAATTTATTTTACTGCATGAAGAGTCTTCAGGCTTGGTATAATTGCAGCAATAGACTCTAGTTTAGGTACCCCACGAATTAAATATTATTCGTATGTATGAGGAAATGAAGACTTAAGTACGTAAAATCTTTAGTATTTGTGATAGGTGGACTTAAGAGGGGAGTAACACTTGCGAATTAATACAAGTACGAATGCTCTTGGTGGGAGTGCTCGACTAGGATATACTGCCGCTATTTCAATCATTGCTTGCTTTTCATGACACACACACACATACACCCATAAACGCACATAGATAGTCCCGCGCTTCACTAACAGAGGAGACTGTGCCTGGCATGCACTTTTGGGCTTTACTATGGGAAATTAAGTGTGTAACAATTTTTGTTATATTGTTATATTCACTCTTTCAACAATGTTTTTCAATACATTTCAAATATTGGACTGGATAATTGAACTTACCACACAGAACTTCTCACTCTTCTTGGTGCATTCCTTGAGATAGAGATGCGCAATTTCCTTGGAATAGTTGGTGCAGGGAGTTATGGAGCCCACGCCCTCGTTGTACTGACCACACATGTGGCACTTGAGGCCATCGACAAGCTCGAAGCTGCCACAGCACAGCAAAATGGCGCCCAAAAAGAGGAACGCCCATGGAGGACCAGAAAGTGGCGAAACAGTTGCTCGACTGGCCTTGGGCAGCTCCACGACTGAAGTGACCTTCACTGCAGAAGCAGCAGCACCAGCAGCAGTAGCAGCACCAGCAGCAGCAGCAGCAGCAGCAGCGGAGGCGGCTTTCGTTGACATTGCTTTTTGGTTAGCGAACGACATTTTCATATGAGGTTTAACCTTTGACAGGGACACCAGATGCACACACAAGCACAGCAAACACGCCCACTTGCAAATATTGCAATTGAGCTATTTTTGGTCACTTGATTGTTTTTTTTTGTTTTCGAGTCTTTAGTTAGTTTTTGCGCTCTTTCGATTGAGCTGTGTTTGAATTCTTTAGCTTAACGCTTTTGTTAACCTACAAGCAAAAGTTAAAAAAACTTAGCCTAGATAGATAGATACCCGATATACGTCAGATTTATAAAACGTAAAGCCTTAACCATTCCTTACTATAACTAATATATAATATAATATAATATACTAATATTAATATAAGCATCGATGAGCATCGATGGATGCAAATAATTCGTTGAGAAATCGTCCTGATGCTGCAAATGATAAACTAATTCATTACCTAAAATTATCGATTACCTACTTAGTAGTAATTGATAGTAGGTAATCAATAAAAAAAAACAAAGTATAATATTAATATTTACAGTACAGTTCTCGTTCATTCAGCTCTATATCGAAACTCATTCACAGTCTGAACAGAGTATATTAGCATTGTGCAACGACTGCTTGATGTCTGCCTTTTGAATCTAGAAACTATATAGAAATTTTGTATATATACCTTACATAAATGTGCTTCAAAACGGAAATTATCTCATCTAGAAGCTAACTTACAATGATATATCTATAAATGATATATCTATAAGGTTATATGTCTAAGGCTGAACGCCTTTTGCCATGATTCGTTTAATGTTCTCATTTGATACTATTTGGCTGCTTGCACAACATTCGGCACAACAAAAGTTTGTGTATAGAAAGAAATGTGGGAAAAATGGAATCGTGCACATCTAATGTTACACTCGGATGCCAGCTGCTGCCGCATTTATGCCCAGCTCACGGGCGGCTCTCGTGCAAATAGGCCGCTTTCCAAGTTCCAAAAGGAATTCCCACACAAAAATTGCGTTCGAATTGCTTTAGTTGTAACTGAAAGTTGTTGTAGCTGAAAGTTTTACTGCTGCGGATGCGCGAAGCGGGGGCCTTAAGCTGAAGCGTTAACTATTTCCACAAAATTTAACTCAATTTGGAGGAATATATTTTCGAGAGCAGCGGCAGCAGCAGCAGCAGCAGCAGCAACTTTGTGTGCTCGGGTTTCGTTGCATACTTTTGGGCTTTGATTTGAATCGTTTGATGCAAAAAGTGGGGCAGGTGTTGTTAAATTTTCGCGCTCGCTTTCTTGCATAGAATAGTGACCGCCACGCCACGCCACGCCACGGCACGGCACGCCACGCATTCAAGTGCTGTCTGCTGCAGCCAATTAACAAATTATTTTTAATTAAACGAGCGAATGCGCGCCATGGTATATTCTTTTATCTCCTCTGAAGGGCGCCAGTTAAGCTACGCTTTTATAGGCCCAACATAACTGAATATGACATAGTATTGAACACCAAGTAGATAGTTCTCAAATGGTCCTCTTAGTCCTGCTCATGGCTGTTAGCACTGTTCTGCGCCCCATCAAAGACACCACTGACTGCAATTGCCTACTTTGAATATTTGCCAAAAACTGCTTCGTCCGCTCGAAGCGTGCGCCGCGTTTGAACAGAATTCGTCGACTGAATCAACCAAATTCGGCCATCGAACATGTCTCGCAACGGCCATTCGACGCTCGTGTGCGTGTTCGTGCCTTCGGTGTTAGCTGTCCGAGTGACTCGATTTGAACTGATTGAAAAGTTCTCAGCAGATCATCGCGTTATTTGCATCCCCATGCAAAAACCATTTGGTACATTAAAATGTACCATGTACCATGTACCATGTGCTATGCAAGTAAAAGTCAAACTTTTTTACTTTAGTTTGTTAGTTTATTTTCTTTACATCATTTTATTTACAAAAAATATATATGTACAAATTTCTAATCAAACGTTGAAGTATAGGTAAATTTTGTAAGTAAAGCATACATTAAAGGTACGTCTACTATTGCATAATAATATACCGGTTTTCGTACATTTTTATACGGTAACTTTAAGTCCCACCACACACCGCAGCTAATACGCAACATCGATAGCTTGGTCAACTTTGTTAATAATTAACTATATCAATGCAATCTAAAATATGAATTGCAATATAAAATTGCTTGATCTCACGGCTTATTTGAATACAATAATGCAGTTTTGAAACTTTTATATCAGTTTCTAATATTAGCAGCATATAATATATATTCAGTTTCATTTATTTATTATTAACATTTTTCAAACGTTTTAATTTAGTTTATGATGAAAATTAGTAAATAAAATCATTTATGAAATGTCCTCGGTATGTGACTAGCTTCAAACATGTTTGAAACACACTTACATGTTAAAGGCATGTAAGTTAACAGACCAGTGTTAATGTGTTGAAAATAAGCAGAATTTGATACTGTGGTGAATGTACTTGCTATAAAAGTGACTTTTCACCACTGGTTGTTGTCTTGGCTTACAGTTTGGGTCAGACTGATCAAGCTGAAATTCAAAATTCGAAATTCGAAATTTAATCGAGTTTTGTTTTATATTATATATAGTATAATACCATTATATATGAAATCGATTTGCATTGAACTGAATGAGTTATATTTCTCGAAAGGCGGCATCAAAGTTGAATTGTTCCAATACATTGATTTATGGGCTGATCGATGCCGACGTCGATAAGGCCGATGCGATAGGATTATTAATATATGATCTCCAATAAAACTGGGGGCTAATTGGCACTGCTGGACTAGAAGCCTAAGCCAATATTATCTGGCTTTTCTGGATCCAGTCGACGTAGTTGGCCACCTTGCAGTAGACGCCGGGATAGGGGGCCACGGTGCAGGGCTTGACGCTCCAGGACACGATGCCCACCTGCTGGCCGTCGTAGAGCAGAGGGCCGCCCGAGTCGCCGCTGCATTGGCCCTTGCCGCCCTCATCTACCCCGCCGCAGATATGATAGAGCGGGTTCGTGGAGCCCTTGTGGCGCGCGACGCACTCCTCGTCAGAGTACACCTTGAGCGACACCTGCTGCAGCGTAGTCTGAATATAGCCACCGGTCTAAGGAGGAGAGTGTGAGGATTAGCTAGGCATAAAGCGAGGGCGAAGCTAGAGCAAGTCCTACCTCGTTGAGGCCCCAGCCAATAAGCGTGCCGTCCCCGCCGTTGTCCACCTGGGGCGTGGCAAAGTTTAGGGCTGGCAGCTGAACAGGTGCGACGGTCTTGTAGTCGAACTTGAAGGGCTCGGCCACCTGGAGCAGTGATATATCGTTGGCGTAGTTCTTGCTCGGGTTGTAGAGTTCGTGCTGAATGATACGCTTCACAGCCACCACGTTGGGTCCAGTGGCTCCGATCTTCGTCACTCCGTACTGCACGGAAAGCTGCTCCGCTTTGCGGCCGTCCGTGCAGTGGGCTGCGGTCATCACGAACTGGTTCGAGACGATCGAGCCACCACAGGAATGGGAGCCAGTTGCGCCACGCAACGAGATCTGCGAGATCAGAAAGAGACGTTAGAGATCTACGTCCGATCTATATCCGAGTCCAGCTCACTCACCACAAAGGGATAGCTCTCTATCGTGGCATCCGTGCCATTGACCACTCGACCCATCGGAGGTGCGCCATAGGCGCTTCCACAGGTAATCGCCAGCACTAGAAGCGCGCACAGGTGTTGTCCGGACGATGGCATGATGGAAAAACTGCTGATTAGACTCTAACTGGACGGCGCTACGACTGGCGTCTTTTATAGACGAATCCAGTGGAGCGTGTGCTGGAGCGATTGCTCGAATATTTATGGCCAGCGATAACTGGGCTATAAATGATTAAGTTTCTGATTCCCTACCCTATCCGATTTACAGTTTATAAATCAGTTGTGTTTGGGTTTTACTCAATGATTAAACACACATTTCGCACTGCTTCAGTCAATCAATCAATCAATCAGGCTAGACCAGATTCTTTGAGAGACCAGATTCTCCGCAAAGCAATCAGCATGCCAGAATATATTAAAGTCAGGGTCCTAGTCCTAGCCTATATTAAAGTCAGGGTTGTCCGAATGCCTATGACATCCTAGGGCTTGGTCCGATAAGTGTATAGGGTGGTTGGGTACATTCATATATTAGATATGTCTTCTATTTGACTGCAATAAAGTTGCTTATGGGTAGCATCCGTGGATGGGAGCATCGGTCTATGCTGTACTCAGATGAGTGAGCTACAGCGATCTATGCTGAACTGGCTGACGGTTGATCACGTCGTGTGATTTGCGTACGGATACAAATGTTTCCTATGCTCCCTATACTCGATCGTGTTGACGTTGGGGATTGATCTTCCGCGTCAACACCACATTCATGCTTGAAAATCAAATTAAACCAAAAGGTCTGTCGCATGGGTCTAATCCGAGACTCAGACGAGATTAGGTAACATCCTCTCAAAAGCATGTTTGATGATCAAAGCTGATGAACAAAATGTTTGTGTTCCAGTGGAACAGAAACGGAAAGGTTTCAAAAAAGAGCGGGTTTCAGGAGAAATTTATAGACTCTATATCAAAGGACGTCCGAGATATACGATTAAGCAAAGTCTCCTTTTCATTAGAATCGATTTCATAAGAACTGAAATGAAAGGTAAGGCGAGTCCTTATGACACATTTTCAAGCCTTTAGTTCACACAGACTTCAGTATTATAGGGCCATCTGGACAGAGTAAACTCAGCTTAGCTCGTCGTATTAGGGGATCGTTCGCAGAACTCGCAGTCTGTGTACCATTGAAATTGGCCTTCTTATATACAGCACAATATGCTTCTGACTCGCTTCGATTCAATGTTTTCAGCTGCTCAAGGACTTCCTTATAAATTTATCCTGCTGATCTCCCAATCTCCTGCCAAGCAGGAGGCACCTATTGATACAGATACAACAAATAAAAGAACTTATATTCATATAGTTCAGCTTTAATTTTACTTTATGCTAGACGCGAGTCATTGACTAAACCATTTTAATTAAGGTAATCACAATGCATAAGAATAAATAAACGTGTGGCTTGAAGTCCGGAAGAAAGTGTGGCAATGCTCCTGGAATGTAAAACTGTGTAAACAAAGCTTAACAAGGTATAGATAGACGAAGGGGTGCCATAATTTACACATAAATATTAACAAATTTAGTTTGATTTTTGGTTGAACATTTGTGAGTCAGCTGAGCCCACACACAATCTACATTATACATTATGTTCAAACTACGCTACTTCACTAGGCAATGCCGTGGCATCTGTCTACAAAAATACTCTTAACAGTTGGTTGCAACTTCTACTGAATACTGCAGCTGCGTACCGTGGACATCTTTTGCTCCTCGTCGTCCAGGTGCTTCGCGCTCAATATACTTTTAATGCTCTCAGCCTCCTTGATCCAGAACTCCAACTGGAATCAATCATAGATACAAATGATGCGTCATACAGAAACATTGGCAGGAACTCACCTGTTGCAGCAGCAGATTGCGCCGCTCACCTTTCGGCTCGTTGTTCACAAACGGCACCAGAATGCCCAGGGCAGAGGTATATGACTCCAAGGCGGCGTCCAGTTTGCGCTCGTACAAATACAGTTCGCCCTGCCGTCCGATTTCCAGGCCCGTCTTCAAAGAGGGACTCGAATTGGATAGAGCAACTGAAAGACGTACAATTTTAGTATCCGGGAATTTCCACATGATAATGGAATATGTGTTGGTGTGTTCCTATTATAGGTATATATACAAGATAAGCGACTAAACAGATTACTGATACTGAACGTTATCGAAAGATTGGACTATCGATGGACTCTTTAACAATAATGTAAAGATACCAATATTTAAGATTAAATAGGTTCATAAATATCAAAAGTTTTCCCTAATACTAATTTGGCTTGATCAATAATACTAAATGCAAATGCTGTAACTGGAATCAGTATTAAGTGAAATGTCGTACAAAGCTGCTTATAGCGCGCATCCGGCTCAAGCATTTCCATCATGCGCGATGTGCTGGGCTGGGTCTGATGATTGGCAGCTTCAGCAGTTGTGGCAGCGACGCTCTTTTCAAATGCTTTCTGTTGTCTTTGGGCCAATAGTTTGTACTCATCCTCGATTATAACATTCTTTATCTCCTCGGCGCGTTTCATGTAGGTTAGAGCTCGATTACGCAGCTCTTGGCGCCGGCTGGCATCCGATTCCTCGGTTATCAGCGGCACAAAGTATTGCAATGCGCTGCAATACAAGTAGTAGGCCTCCTTATAGTTCCGCTTCTCATCGTGTCCCACCGCCTGGGTGACTAGGTCAATTGCCTTCTTCAGCGTTTGTTCCGAGGGAAAAGTTTTGAGATCTAAAAACGGATGTGCAAAGAAATCCGCAAACGAAATGCGCTGCGCTGGCTCGTGAGCCAGAAGACGACGCAACAAATCGTGGCATTCGTTACTGATTCGCGCATTTGGTGGCAGCACAATGGGCTCGGCCTTCCGGATGCGCAGCAACAGTTCCTCAATGGTGCGCGAGCTATAGGGCGCCTTTCCGAACAGGCATTCATATAGAATGACGCCAACACTCCACAGATCCGCCTTGGCATCGTACTGATGCTTACGCACAATCTCTGGCGCCATGTACAGCGGCGAGCCCTTCAGCTGTTGATTGAGCTCGCCCAGTTTAAGGTGTTGCGCAAATCTGTAAAATGTCCAAAACAATCTATACATAAAAGGTTCCCTCGGATCCCTCGATAACATACCCAAAGTCTGCCACCTTCAGATAGACATTATTGGCGCTGCGCGTTAGCAGTAAGTTCTGTGGCTTCAGATCAAAGTGTGAGACGTCATTGGCTCGCATATACTGAACCGCAGCTGCCAACTGTCGTAGAAAGTATCGACATGTCGACTCCGGCAGCGCCTTTTTGGTGCGTATGAAGGCAGATAAATTTCCTGCATTACAATACTCCAGTACAATGTAAATGTTCCTTAAGAAGAACCGAGGAAAATTTAAGTATTTCGATCTCTCGAATGCACCCATAAACTCACTTGTCATCCCAGAAGAAGTCCTGAAGCGTCACGATGTATTTATGTTTGAGGTCACGCAGCAGTCGAATTTCCGTTATTAAATTATCGCGCGAGCTTTGGGATAACGTGGACATTTCCACATACTTGATGGCATGATAAGTGTTCTGCTTCTATAAAAATACATATAGACAAGCAAGAGATAAGTTAATTCGTGGAAACTTTAAATAATACGGCTTACTTTATGACGCGCCTTGTAGACGGATGCATAGCTGCCCACTCCAAGTTTCTCCTGTATGTCATAGTCTGTTATTAGCGGCAGTGACATAATTGAACAATTTTATAAGGCCATTTATATAGGAAGTTGCAGCTAATGCGTTTTCGAACAAATTGCTTTAGAACTAGGGAAAACCATAACAATACATTTGACAGTCACAACGAAGATCGACACTCAGCTGATTGGAGCGGCAATCGATTGTGCTCAACATTTACACACTTGTTGCACAACAGTTGTGCCACCGTTCCACGAAATGCAACAGAGCAACGTTGTGTCAACGAATGGGCAACACTTTTGTGATTCAGTGTGTTTGTTGTTGATGCGTATCTCAGCAACAAAATTAAATTTTTTGAAGGTAAATAAATGGATAACCCAAGTTAAAATAGCGCAACACAATTACGAGATCACAATAATGTAGATGGCACACAATACTATTGCCAAGCAAAGGGTTTTGGCTATTAAATCATTTCGTAAACCCCACGGACTGAAGCTGGGCTGCTCATACGAAGCAGACACACCCAAAATAACAAATTAATCAGACACGCCCGTTAGCAAATTTATTAATATGTGTTCACAATATATGTTCTTCAACTTCTAGCTGTTCTTTGCGCAGTGCTTGATCCTCCAACCATATTTGATTTCGTGACGTCACAGAACAAGGCTTCAAAATGAATTACGGCCGAAAGACGCCCTCAACCTATCGATCGAATCCCTCGATGTATTCCCATGCCACGGGGAGGTATGTAAAGATAACAAGCATTTATAAATAGCAAATAATCAACATGTAATTCTCTTGCAGATCCTCTACAAATTTGCATTCGAAGATGTCGCGCTCCACACGCAGCGTTCGCATTCCATGGTACCAGAGGCCTCTCCTGAAGAACAACCAATACATTGACATACAAAAGGGTGCCATGCTAATTGGCCTATTCGCTGTGGTAAGTCTTGTGGTGTGTTTGTATTTAACATTGCTAATTCGAGTGCCTCCACAGTTTCTTTCGCTCTTCACCATTGCCACCACCATCTTTGACATTTACTGCTATGCGATGGCGGCCCCCGGATCGACACATTACGGTTACTATATTATATCATACGAGTTTGTGTATGTTGGAAATAAGCACGGTACTTATGTGGCCTTTTATCACTTAACTCATTACGTCAAGTTTCGCATATGTTCTAGTTCGCAACATGTTGATCGTATTTGCCCTGTTCTCGCTGATTATGGCGCTCGTGAACTTTGTCACCAGCGTCCTACTGTGCGTGGCCTTGCGGAAGGTAAGTTAAATATATTTTTGGGGTCTGGTTTCGCGAAAATTCACTTTCATTTCACACATGCGTTCAAGCAAAAAAAACTTGGAGCACAAAAACGCTTACTGAGCAGAAGGGTAACATAGCATCCTACATAAATCCATTTAGTTTAGCTACCCAATCATTTAATAAGTTAAAAAGTCTACATTAAAATAATTACTAAACCCTTGCAGGAGTACGAGAGAAAAGTGATGCCCTGGCTGTGGACCTTTGCCATTTTCACCGTTTGGCGCGCCTTGGCTCTCATCTTCTTTGCCATTGTCAATGACTTGTACTTTGCCTACAACATATTAATGGTGCTGCTTTGGAGCATCTTCTGTTTGGTTTCCATTTATGGCTGGGCCGTTGTCTATTCGCTGTTCCTAGAGCTGGTGGACCTCACAAAGTTGGAAGATTTGGCGCACTTGCGTGTAAGTTTGGTCATCGTACAAATTGCCAAAGAACCTTTGTTTACGTTCATTCTTTCAGATGGGCACTATGGCTTCACTGCACGCATCCACAGCCAACTCGCTGGCTGGCTCCCGTCCGACAACACCCCACAGCACTGTGTCTACAATGCCAGTGGGCTAGTGTGGTGGGTGTTTCAATCACATGCAAAGCTCAATAATCCCGTCCACTGGAATCCTTCTCAGCCAAGGCTAGGCTAGGCAAGGCAAACCAAACGCGCTTTATTTGTAAACATTCCATATTCACCAGTTCTGTGCCTTAGATGCGTTCAAATAATGTCTAGTACATATCAAAACAAGAATTGCGATTGCAAATTTTTATACATATATGAAGAATCTAACTAGTATTTAAGCCTCATTCCGTCCACTTACGAACACACATACATACACACATGGAGGTGCATGTTAATTTAAACGAATATTTTTGTTATTGATGAAATCTCTGTCTCAATATGTGTTTACCTGACTTATTTTTATACACATCCACCGTCCTGTGTAACAATATTTTATGCAAAGTAATATATTGCCTTCACTTAAAATTATTAAAATCATGTTGGATCATTTTTTAGCGTATTATCAAGAATTTTGTACCTTTAATAAATTTCAAGAAAAGTATAAAAAGACGATTAAATTATTTGCTATAAGTAGAAGTAGAAAAAGGTAAATAATTAATGTTTCCCTCGAAAAGAAATTCAAAAAGTCTGTAAAATTGTCCAAAAATTAATTTTCAAAAATAATACAAGTTAAAATTTGAAAAAGTAAAGTTCAGCTATTAATTTTTAAAATTAATTTTTCAAGTTTTTACGATGATCGAATTTAAAACAATTCAAATAAAACGTTTGGTATATTCTCGCTTCGCGTTGCTGTCACACTGTAAACAACGAAATACCTTTTCCGGTTTGGAGATATCAGCTGCGCGACATGACAAAGCAATCAGCTTTTGGTCGTCAGCAGCGAAATTACAGAGAATCGTTCAACAAAGTGGGATAATTACAGTACAACTCACGACACATGCAAACAAGAGTACAAGTACCACACACATAGCACGCTTGTAGATGAGCCAAAGTTCAATTAACTAACAAAATGCGTGTTTTATTTTGTTAATTTCTCAATATCCCATGAGTCAAACTTTCAAACAACAGGCATTCGCTTCTGCAACTAACTTTCGCTCGCATATGGTGTATTTTATATGCATATGCATTTATTACAGATATATGTACGTGTACATACAAGCATGAGTGTACTTTGTCTCGCTCAGTTCGCAGCTTATTGCTACGCAGTTTCACGATATTCGCAGTTTAAAATATTGCGCATCGTTGTCAAGTCCTGATGGATGTGCGTGTGTTGCTCTCCCTATGTTTTGCCACTCATTATTTTTCTCTCGCAGTTGTTGATCGCTGCAACGGGACATAAAACTGACTGAACGCCTCGCACCTGTCCAAGTTGAATGCCCCAAAGCAGAAGAGCAGGAAAGAGAATCCACTGAGTGCTATTTCTAACAGTGCTCAATTTTGTTTTCGACACGTTTCTCAACCTTGCCTTAATATTATTTCTCCCATCAGTCTTCTACGCAGTGCCGTTGTTGCTTTGTGCTCGGCTCATAACTGCGCATTTCCACTGAGGTAGTAATGTGGTTCGCTTGTATCACGCCTGCCAGACAGATATAAAGTATAAAATGCAACGCTACCTCCACTCCCCACAGATTTCATACGCTGTCGCTTGGATGCCTCTGCCTGTTGTTGTTGTTGTGCGTGGGGCGCGTCGTTCACCTTAGTAAAACACCCCCACAAGCTGCTGCACCAATGGAGAGGCGTACATATATACATACATATATATAAGTCCGTACGTACTCATCTACACATCAACACGTTTGGTTGACTATGTTTCGGGTTTTTGTATTGTGTTATTGCTCTCATTTGCTGTTAACTGAGGGCAAGTAAGATTTTCACCACGACAGCTTGCTGCGCTCTTGGTGACTAATTGTTGTTATTGCTAAATTTTTACTTTGCTCAACAAAACAATGTTTTGTTTGGTTTCGTGCGATCCCAAACTGACGAAATCAAGTGCTGCGTCTTTCCTACTCTCTCTCGCTCCCATTCGGTAGGCTTCTGCCTCAGCTGTCGTATATGTATGGCCATACGTATGCACATTAAACAGGAAATTATTTTCGTTTTCTATAGAAAAGTCTCATATATGTACATACATAAATACATCGCCATGTACACCAATTTAATCTCTTTGGTTTATTTTTAAAGCTATACATATACATACGTAACAATCAAACGAATGATCATATGTATGTATGTACATTTGTATGCATATTGTTTAATTTTGTACTCACAAAATAAGTAAGCTGATTTAAAGCTTACTCAAGGTTCACACAAGAATACAAATTCATATATATGTGTATATACATATCCATGTATGTGTGTGAGTCGCACAAAACTACAGTTCGTTAACATGCACATGTGTATGGCAGCGATGTTTTTGTGAAATTTAAAGTATATTTTAAGTCTGATAGACTTGTATAGAAATAAACCTATTCGTGTATTTTGCGTTTATATTTAGTTTCATATACAGATATAATAAAACCTATATTTTATTATTAAATTTGATAATAATTATACATTTTTTTAGAAGTATGATAATATTTATATATTCATGTGTGTATGCATATATTTATGTGGATACATATGCACATATGCCCCTGTCTTGTTAATTCCGTTTTGTTTTTTATTGTCCGACGCATTTACTCGTTGACCGCTAAACAAAAAATGAATCGCTTCACTGAGATGCTTAGCTATATAAATACAAGGATATAAATTCAAACAGACGTATGTACGTACATACATACATACGGCCATAGCAAACGAAAAAATAAAGCAAATTTCAGCCATCAAAAATGTTAGCCAGAGAAACTCACCACGCATTGGTTTTATTACAACAGACGAACTCGCATTAATGAGCAACTAACAACAGAAACGAATTTTATGTTATTTCCTGATTTACTTAAATAGTTATTCAAGCATGTAAAGTTGTATAATTCTTACGCAGATATACATTTGATAAAATATAAAGAACATATTCTACATATGTACATATCTATAAACATATTTCATAAAAGTGCGCAGTTTGCATTGATGACGCAGCAACAAAAACACAATGGCAATGCCAACAACATGACAATAACAGCAACTGCTCTCAGTCTCAATAGCTCTTGCTCTTGCTCTCTCGCACAGTTGACGTGTGGCCACAATATGGCGTCGTCGGAACTGTGTCGTCGCTGAATTTCCATTTCAAAATAACAATTAGGAATGTATGTATGTAAATGAATTTGGATTCTTAGCCGCATTGCTGCTCTGTTAAATAATAAATAGATGAGAGCTTATAACAACAGTTTCATGATTAAATGTTAAGAATTTGCTCTGCATCACTCTGTATTTTTCATGCATTGCATTGGTCTCTATAAATGGTGTATATGATTGTGTGTGAATGTACAGGTCTGTAACTTGTTACAATCATAATACCCTTGATAATAGTACTTTTGTTCCGTCATCAAGTGTGTAACAGAGTCAATGAGACAAGTTTATTGAACTATTAGTTACATTTTCTAGATCAGATATCTCGAACATTTCAGTCTTATAGCTAAGCCCAATATATACATAAATAAATATTAGTGTATATATGTACACTTATATATATTTACATATAAATAAATATGATATACATAAGAAATGTAGCTTATTTCCTTTAGTTCTAAAAAAAAATAAATAGAACTAGGAGATCGCACACCGAGGATTGTGTACCCCTTAATAAATGAGAAAATTTAATATTTATAGTACATTTTAATGAGTACCTCGAAACCTTGTACTTTTTTAATTGTTTGTCTTTTCACAAGAGGATTTTTGGGTTGGTTGTTATTCAACAATTTAAATTTGGCTAGCAGAATGTTTTTTTCATTGGCGTTTTATCACTAATATGTGCTATAGCCATATTACGTATATTCATAGTTGCATATGTATAAGTACAATCATACATACATTCACAGAATATTTCCTTGTATGTTTTTCACCACGCGTAAGTCAAATTCTCTCTAGTTTTTAAACATATGTATATGTATATGTGTGTGCATTACTTTGCTCAGACTTCCGTCTATATACATATATATACATATACGTATGGTGTTTAATGCTGTTAAGTTGAACTGTTAAGTGACAAAATGAATAATAATCTTTACACTATTTTACAATGTACATGTAATATATAAATATTATCTGTTGTGGGACATTGTTGAAATAAGCAAAGGCTTTAAAATTTATTGTAAGAAACAATAGAAATTGCTTAAAACAAATCACTTTTGCGTTAACATTCTCTGCTGAGACGACAACAGTACGTTTTGAGTATAACATACCCAATTTCATTTTTACTCGACTGATTTGCGTTTTGCTTTGCCGTTTCATTCGTGCGTTGAACCTTGGAGACTTCACATCGAGTTTGGAGGATCAAATCCACGTTAGGTTTTGCTACAACTACAACTGTCATCCACAATACAATACACGCGCTGTGTCTCTGTCTGCTTCGCTGGCTGGCTTTGTGTCTTTGTGTGCGTGCGCGCCGTGTTGATTTGGCATAATTTGTAAATGATTTTACAATTTTTGTTACAAATAATCGTCGAGCGCTAGCCAATCGGGTCTATTAAATCCGCGCCAGCGTCGCTGCTAACGTCGTCGTCGTGAGCGTTGTGTGCAAGAAAAATTTAGTTTGTTTAAAATAAAAAGAAAGTTAACCATAATTTGTGATATACTTACATATTTAATTTATATTTGCCCTTGCTTTGTGCAATTTCCCACGAAAAGTTTATAATTCATCAGCAATTTTTACAAATGTATTATTTGTGAAAAAATAAAAAAAAATCAACTTAAATCATTTAAAAAATTTGTACAACTGTGATTCAAACAAAACTGGCGTTTTTGTTTTAAATGCTTAGCCATTTGCAATAACTACAAATACTACAAGAAACTTTCAAAGTAAGTGCATTACTTAAGCATTGCTGATGAAAAATTGTTAAATTTTCGCCTACGTCGTCGTGACACTCTCGCGCTTATTCACCACCATTAACAGCTAAATTTCAACATGAGCACAGTACTCAGCTCACCACTCATACTCTTTCTCTGTCTCTCTTCCACACGCGCGCACACAAGCGTATCCGTCCATGTGAGATTGTGTTTGCGAGTGCCTTTATATGCAATGTCATAGAACAGACGTTGCCATGTCGCGTAAAACACAAAATAAATCGCAGTTCGAGTAAAGAAAATGAAAGCCAAAGTCTGGTAAAATAGTAGTAGACATACTGCAATGTGTGGGCACACATACATTTATGTATGTAAGTATGTATGTATGTATGTATGTGTGTATGTGTGTATGTGCGTACATATATACATCGATTCAACCGCAAACTTTAACCTTCGCATTTTATTTGCACTTAAATGGGCGTATGTATGCGTGGACATACATGTACATCGCCGGAGTAGACAAGTGTGGTTTTATTTTAAGTTTATTTTTGACATTTTTTATAGTTTTTGATAAATTCAGCTTTCGCTGCAAAAACAACTGTTTTCTCCTTGCCAAAAAATGATCAAGGACGTTGTTAAAGCAATAAATATAAATTCATACGTACATTAGCTGAACACATTTGAAAAAAAAAAACTATACATCTACGCACAGACCAAATAAATTACCAGAAATGTAAAACACTTTGCGTACATTAAAACTTCACTGTTCTTTTGTTTGCAGTTTCTTTACATACACGCGCACACACACATACAAAATATACAAGTGAATTTAAATTGTAGAATGCAGTTCGTGATTAGAAATTTGTGTGCTCTCTTACTGGATGAGTCACCACCACTCATACATTTATGTAAACACTTATATGGATATGTGTACATTTGTGTTTGGGCGAGTCACAGTACAATAAGTCAGCAATAATATTTGCTTGGCACGCATTATCTATTACTCCTTATCAGCGGAGACAGCGCATCACTAATGTACGAACATTTTATGGGGGCACACGACATTTGTTTTCGATGAGGGCATATTTTTCTTGCCATATGCAAATCCAATTGACACTAATTCGTGAATACATATATGCGTCCATTTATTCATACTCTTTTGTATGTCCATATGTTTGTACTGTCGTGCGTGTGTGTATGTGTGTTCATTTCTCCCATGTGTTGCTTTGGCGTAGCGATAGATGCTTTTTTCTTATCGATTATTGTTGCATCGATATATCTTATAATTTTTCGTATTTGCCGAATACGCTCATTTGAAATGAATTTAAATAAATAATCTATGTGTTCACTTTTGCTGTTTTAGGAGGAAAATGAAATAAACGGAATAAAATCTCCCAAATGCCTAAGCGGAGCTTGGCAATATTTAATTTGCTAATATATAGTTAGCACTCTTCTGCTAAGCTTACTTCACTGAGTTTTTTTATTAAACGTTACGAAAGTCTCGAACCGCTGATTAACGCTTGTTGGCATTATTTTTTGTGTGGAGCTATAATTAGTTCTAAAAATATAGGAGAATATGTAGTAATTATATAGGAACCTGAAGATAGATGCAGCTAAATTCAAATGAAAATGACGAAGAATTTTATTTTATATATATTTAGAAAGCTCTAAAAGTTGGACTTATTGATTTACAATAACTTCATTAAAGTTCTACGCATATGGGTCTAAAAATATATAAAAATTGAAATTATAGTTTATTAAAAATGTAATTAGCCCAAAAAAAAAAAAACATTTCAAAATTTAAAAATTGCATTTATTTTGACGATACGAATGTTATATGAGGGTACTCAAATGTTGTATTACACTTGGGGAATATACCAATCGTGTTTGTACTGGTTCCATTTACACAGCCCGCATTTGAGTACGGCACGTGTATCGAGTCTGGTTCTTATCGCTATTATTATTACTCTGTACATTATCACAATCACGTTTTACGCTACTGTACAATGGCGAATAGCAAAATTATTCACGTCCCTGCTATAATAATGAATATATAATATATACATATATATTATCTATCATTCTACATGTTTGAATGAACAAAAATGATCAATGCCAGTGCTTGACTGCAATCGTTCGAGAGCGCAATGCTATGGAATATGCTGTAACCAAGTCAAACATATATTATTTTAGTCGGTAATACGGGGCGTACTGTAGAGCTTAGTATGTAGCTTAGATTATGAATATTTAATACCCGCGCTTATTTATCGTCACGAATTACTTGTATTACCTGATTGGTATTTTACTCCGGAAGTCAATCGGTGCCTTGTTGTAACTGTGTTACGAATTGAAGCCAGTTTATTACAATAATTTTAATGGCACTGCATGAGACTCCATTATATTTAATAATAGTATTTGTATTTTTTCGACTTGGAAAAGTCCTGGTGCGAAACACTACTAATTAATTAAAATTGTTTCATACAATACATACATATGTATATAATATGTAGTTCATTGCTCTGTAGTCGAGTGTTGTTTAGCCCGAGTGAGCGAACCTTAATGAACTTCAAATGCTATGACTAATTTTCAATAGAATTAGTTTTTGTTTACCATTTGAAAGTCCATAAACAACAGTTGTCATTTGGTAGTCTCACGAAAATGTATATAATACATATTTTGTTTGCTATAAATTTATGCAAATTGAATTACACATTTCAAATTCACATTCAGATGGCTACGTATACATATGCATCCTATATACATACGCTTTACACACATATATGCAGGTAGGCACACAGACATGTCTGTCTGTGTGTCTATAGTCATGATGACGAAGGCAAAACAAATAATAAAATAAAAACAAACAAGAGTCCGCTGCCGTCAGCGTCTCTCGTTCACGTAGTATAATTATTTGTAGCTCTGGCCGCGAGCTAGTTAACATTGCTATTGTGATACCCTATTATTTTTGAATGTATATGGAAATAATGTTTTATAAAATATATGTCTAACAGGTGGAAGAAGAATATTTAACATAATAAAAGTCGCATGTTTTTGTGTTTCAATGTTATTTGCAGGGTAGTTGAAAGTCGAGTATTGTGAAGTATTAAGCTATTTGTTATTGTCGCCTTACGCTTTCCCCCCATCAATATGTTGCCGTCTGTTTGTGTCTCTCTTGCACTCATACACAAATAAATAGCTGATAAGCGCGCGTCATCGTCGACTTCGACGTCGACGCTGACGTTGACGTCTGTGTCAGCTGCTCACTCTGTCTCTTGCCTCCGCCGCCATAGCGACGCGTGGATGGCCACGACCTCATTTTTTGTTGGTCTGCTGGTTTGTTTTTAGGTCGCGTGTAAATGGTTCTACTCCGCCGTCCCGCACTACGCACTAACTGTGATCGCTGTCGTATACCCTCGAAAGCTCTCAGGCGGGGACTTTTGTACTGCCAGCAGCAAAGCAACAATACTTAACATTATTAAAGTTGTTTTGTGATTTTTTTATAACGGCTTACTAAAGTTATATTTGTACGAAGTCCATGTGACGTGTTTTGCTGCTATTGAAATTAGACAAATAATGAATAGTAGATTAAATGAACTACGCCCACAGGGGACAAATCGGGGAAACCCAAACTTTCCAGAATTTTAGATTTTCGCAAATGAGCTTTGGTCCCCTAGAGGCGTGATGTGTTGTACATTAAATTGAAATATTTATATACCATATATATTTATACAAATAAGAAAAAGTTATGTTTTTTGACCGTAGGCATGCATTATAACTGAACTACATCGAAGTACTTCATTGCTTGATTTATTTAAGCTATTTTTAGTGCTTAATCCGCTCTACTCAGTACAGATGTGTGTATATAATCACAACAGATATCATTGATGGCTTCTTTAGTATTTGTTTGCCAAGTTATGCAATCGTTTTTTTTTTTTTTGTATATATTTCTGTATATCGATATGTATTTAATTGAAATATGTATATTGGAATAAATAATTGAAAGCTTATGTTTACATATTGATGTATCTGAAGCGTTGATTTTCGATTTATATGAATTTTGGATTGAGGGATAAAGGTTATTTATTTTTATTTATTTTTATTGCATTTATCTTGCAGCGCAAATTTTGATTTCACTCCACTTGGGACCTACTGCTTAACGTAAGCGATTTATTTCTCCTGAACCAAGTTACATTTGCCCTTGACATTCACTTCGATTAATAATGATGACTTGTGAACAAATGTCATCTTGCACAGTTATATATTCGCTTTTCCGTTAGTAGTTTGAAGTGTCTCCCAGTACTCTTTAACTCCATCCGCTTGGCAACTTTAATTCGTAAGACGGTTGCCCAGCACCCGCCCCAGCTACCAGCTTTAATTTTGTTTGCTTGTATTTCACCACAGTTGAAGCAGTGCTGTAAAGTATATTCACCACATAGACTTCTATGGCAACAGTCAACTCTCGCCTGTACCGTTAGCGAGGGCAGATGAAAAGCGAAACCTTGGCTTTTTTGTAGTTTGCCTGTCTGCCTTCCTTCTGCTTTGCTTCTTTGTCGTTTTCGTGCCCTGACGGATGCCTCGCCCTGGTCTTCTTTGTCTTTGCCTTTGTGGCTGCGTCTCCTGCTTGCAGTTCATTGCCTTACACTACAGCTATGTATACGCTTATGTATATGTATGCATGCATGTATCAGATGTAATGTGTTTAATGAATATCAATGATATGAACTTTGTGCGCTTTGTTGTCAATGACACGCCCCCAACTCAACTCCCACAAAGCTGACGTCAACGTTACTGACTCAGCCGGCAGCTGTGCGCATTAGCCTTCAGTTGCTGCAAAGTT